GCGTTACTACCGCTCAGACTCGAAGTGTATCATGCCACGGTTCCCTTACTACTCTAACGACTATATCGAGATCTCTAGCGAAGTTCGAAACTCACTCCAAGAATCGCACAAAGTTTATTTGGAGAATCTATTCTCGCTTTCAATCAAGTCTCAAATTTCTATATTCCTTTGTTTCGTTAGATTTGGAAAATTAAAATGATATCCAGGTGATCGATTTCGAATCCACCCATGTTTTTCATAATCTCCAAGTGCCAGAATGTTTTAAATTCAATATATGTACCTTTGCAGCACACGTTTTGCCCAGATTTTCTACACTGTTGTGCAAGTGTCGTTTATATTGAAGTGGTTTTCAAGGTTTTGTTACAGTTGCCAAGGGCTTTTCCGGTCCCTAAACTCATAAATTGCTAGGAGGAGTAGCCTAATGCTTTGATTAAGGCATTGATTTGTAATTTTGTATCCGCAAGGAAAGTTTTATTGAAATCAATTGGTCGAATTGCCATGTTTTATTCGGCAAACAACAGTACATTCTTCCTCGCCGGAAGTTTAATTACCGCTGGTCGATGTTACTTATATCTTGTTGCGTCATTATATACCACCATATGCATGTCATGTCTCTTGTTGTGTAAGTGACGTTTATACTGAAGTGGTTTCAAAGGTTTTGTTACAGTTGTTAAGGGCTTTTCCGGCCCCTAAACTTATAAATCGCTAGAAGGAGTAGCCTAATGCTTTGATTAAGGCATTGATCTACAATTTTTTTATCCGCAAGAAAAGTTTTATTGAAATCAATTGGTCGAATCATTATGTTTTATTCAAACAACAGTACATTCTTCCTCGCCGGAAGTTTAATTACCGCTAGTCGATGTTATTTTTATTAATAAACTTATATCTTGTTGTTTCATTATACACCACCATATGCATGTCATGTCTCTTTTTGAACAAGTGACGTCTATATTGAAGTGGTTTTCAAGGTTTTGCTACAGTTGCCAAGAGCTTTTCCGGTCCCTAAAGTTATGAATCGTAGCGTAACACTTTGATTATGGTTTTGATTTGTAATTTTTCACCCGCAAGAAAAGTTTTATTGAAATCAATCGGTCGAATTGCTATGTTTTATTCAAACAACAGTATATTTTTCCTCGCCGGAAATGTAATTACCGCCAGTTGAGGATATTTTCATTAATAAACTTATATCTTGTTGCTTCATTATATACCACCATATACATGTCATGTCTCTTATATTAAGTCTCGTTTTTGCTTTAAAGTAGTCCCATTGAAGGCTCCATGGGGCTCTACTGTCGAAATATTCCGTAATAAATTACAGACGTGCCAAATTCAGAATTCAAGATTTCCGTAAGGATCTGCGTTTTCGTAGTGTGTCTCATGAACATAATCTTTGTCCACAAACTGTAATACCAACCTGACATGGTTTGATGCTACTCTGGTTTACATATTTAATGAATGTTACCGAAGAAGTTACAATTCATAGACCCAACGTTTCGACACTCCTGTAACTAGTGACGTTCTTGATGAAAGGGAACCAGCGACTGGTTTTGCTGTTATTCCTTACATTCAGGGTGTTACGGAACCCATCAAGAGAATTTTGAATAGCCACAACGTTAAAGTTGCTAAAAAACCTTTTCAGACTTTGGGGCATATTTTCGCCAAACCCTAAGGATCCTGTCACGAAAGAACAACGAACCGACGCCATTTATTCTATTCCTTGCAAAGACTGTGACAACGAATACATCGGACAGACCAAACGTCAGGTTGGTAGACGTTTAAAAGAACACCAAAAAGCAGTTTTCCTTTGCAAAAAGGAAAATTCAGCTTTATCGGAGCACACATGCCTAACTAACCATACAATTGGGTGGGATAATTCTAAAATTATCACCACTAATCGGCGTTGCCACCAGCGCCTTTGTTTGGAGGCTTGGCATAGTAACTCCGCCCACGCTCCTTTAAATCGTGACGATGGCGGTTTGCTTCCTGACGCCTATTTACACCTCGTCAGAAAAAGGGCCACTAATTAATGATTATATAAAAGGACCTCTTGTTGCAGCGTTTAGATCACCCTGATGAAGGCACTAGACAGGAGTGTCGAAACGTTGGGTCTATGAATTGTAACTTCTTCGGTTACATTCATTAAATCTGTAAACCAGAGTAGCATCAAACCATGTCTGATTGTCCACCTGGTTGCCGTGTGAACTTTAATATATTTTAATACCAACCTCTTTTGAGCTTGTTTTAGCTATGTGTCTTTGTTTTCGTTATGGGTCTTCGTTTTCGTAGGGGGTCTTCGTTTTCGTAACGGGTTTTAGTTTTCGTAAGGAGTCTTCGTTTTCGTAATGAGTCTCCGTTTTCGTAACTACCCACTACATCGGCCATGACGGATGTAGTTTTAGTTACTACACAGCTTGATTCTCTCAAACATCTCAGTTCTGAACAATCCATTGTCCAGTGAAGTATGCTACAAAAGATTGTAGTGAAAACCGATTGACCGGGGAGCTTTTTCAGCCGTTTTCAAATTGACGATTTGTGTATGAAACATAAACCACCAGCAAAGGCAATGGTAAGATACAAATTTACTCGAGGATAAGGCAATGGTATGGTAACTTTTTGCATTGTTTACGTAGAATCATTTCACATTCGCATTTTAAAACTATAGTGCAGAAAAACCTAGTAGACGAAAACAGGAAAGTTTGACATTCGAGCTGCATTTTCTTAGCGTTATTAGATATGAATCAATGGGAACATTTCTCTGGCGATGGACGCTCAGATCTTCATTGTCATTTGAATTATTTAAAATGTGATTGCTTAGCACCTGATCTTTCGACAAGTTTTATTTTCTTATTTAAACGAACTTGAAGATAGCGGAATCAATCATGCATTTGATCATTACTACCGAATGATCGATTATGTTGAATGAGGTCAACATTTGTGATCACGCAATCGGCTTTCCACAATTGCTTTAATTGTGGTGAATGTAGGTGTATTTAAATTATTGTTTTTTCCTGTCAAGAAAAAAAGAAAATCTTAAATTATAGCAACATGTTGTAGTTTTTAGAGATCAACTAATTAACTTTAATTGTAGATAATCAAGCAGTGATTAACTAAATCTTATGGTCTTGTTTTGTAATTTTCCGTCAGTTTCGATGCCCTCACAAGCTTTGAGTTTGATCTAGCTTCTTTCTTTTACACGATTCAGTTTGATAAATCAAGCTAGGGGTTGATCGTTTTTTAAGTTCCTGTACACATAGGCCTCTGCACTGTTCATCAATATCCTCTAGAAACTGATTTTTGACACAAGCTTTGACAATACAAGTAGGTGGCAACCTAGTTAGTTTTGCTTTTGCACCTGAAAGGCTTGTCTGCAATCCAACACATAGCATATATACTTCATCTTTTTTTAACTCAGTATTTGCATGTTCTTTCAGTTAAATATACAACAGAATGTAACTCTCCATGTATTGGTAAATGTTTTCATTTTGAATGAATCAAACTCTGTTGAATGTTTCTGTATAGTAGGTTAGACAAAAATATATTGACTTGGAATTTTGAATGACATACGTGTATTGTAATTGTGAAAAAATAATGCTTACATAAACCAGCTGTAAGTCATTATTTGGCGACCATACCGCTGACAAGGAGCCAAAATGACCTTGGGCTCGAGATTGGGTCGAACACCAAACTAAATTTTCTGGGTTTGGTGGGTTACTACTATGCTGGGAGCTCCGCTATGAGTCCAGCCAATGCATTTTTGTGCAATTTGATGTCATTCAAATCAGGGTCACCTTAACGCGTCTCGCATTAACAAAAACGTCTCTTTCATATTATAGGATAGATGAAATTAACAGTGAACATGAGAATGAAGTACTAGGTTGTGTAAGTTCTCAGTTTAATTTGTTTGTTATTTTTTTTTATTAGTTGTTTTTGTGTCGCATTGTAATGGTATGGTGCTATTTAGTGTTTTAATATGTAGTAAAAAAAAAGATGATGACCAGGTGGAAAGCCATCAGTACTACGCAACAAAATGTATTGATCTTAATAAGAGAAGGTGACGATATTATTTTATTACAGTTACTTTGTTCTTCTCATTCGTATCTAGCTCATACTGAGGAGGTAAACACTGGGGCAATGGAATGGGAATTTGTACCAGTTCCAATAGATTTGAAAGCCCATGTCATCGGTAGGCGTCATAGTGGTTCACACTGGTTCCTAAGCTGAGTGAAGTTGAAGAACTAATCTTAAGGGAAAAAATTCAGGTCTGCTGCATTACAGAAACCTGGCTGAAAGACCACATCAGCGACACAGTTGTAAACATTGAAGGATATAACATCACACGGAATGACCGATCATCTCACGAGCATGGAGGAGTCTGTGTATATGTCAAGGAGGACGTCAAATATGAAATTCCCGAGAAGTTACGTTGCTGTAACGACCATGAAATAATCTGGCTCAAACTAGATCCATCACGCTCTCCCCGGCGGTTTTTCATCTTGCTGGCCGTCGTTTACTACCCAGGCCGTAACAGTCCAGCAGAATCCGACAGTCAGAATTTGCTCAACCATCTATTTGACAGTTTGAAATCAGCCGAATCTTTGTATCCAAATTGTGGAATTATTGTCACTGGCGATTTTAACCGTCTTGATATTTGCCATTTGCGGAGCCATTTTAAATTAAAGCAGCTTGTTAAATTCCCCACAAGAGGCCAGGCCACGCTTGATCTAATACTAACAAACATGGGCAATCACTTCTCAACGCCCGAGAGCTTTCCCCCCTTTGGCCTGTCAGACCATAGCACAGTCATCGTAAAGCCGAAGGAAAGGATACTGAACCAACATACCAGGAAAAAGATCAATATCAGGGATATGAGAGAAAGTAAGAAGACAAGTCTCGGCCGCTATCTCAGCAATGTCGACTGGTCATGCATCAATATGCAAAGCTCCTGTGAGGGAAAACTCCGCATTTTCAACGAACTGATAACAAACGGCATAAATAACATCATGCCAGAAAGGTCGATTAAAGTTTACCCGAAGGACGCCCCTTGGATGACAATAAAACTCAAGGAGTTGATTCGTTTGCGTCAAAATGCATTTCATTCCAACAAGAAGGGTCCAGTTTTCAGATTCTACCGCAATGCTGTCAATAGAGAAAGGAAACTATGCAAAGCAGCCTACTATACTTCAAAAGTGCAAGATCTCAAAGGTATGAATCCCCGTCAGTGGTGGAAAGAGATAAATAATCTGAGTGGATCCAAAAAACAAAACCCCAATTTACTGTCCTCCCTCGATGTACAGCAATTCACCAACATGTCCCCCCAAGAAATCGCCAGTGCAATAAATGAAGCTCTTCAAGAACCACTCCAGTCTTATCAGCCTATCAACTGTGAGAACACGTCTGTTCCCCTTCCTACAGGAGAAGGCGCCGAATTCCCTAAAATATCAACATATCGAGTGTACATTAATCTGAAACGCCTCAACAAACACAAAGCTCCTGGCCCGGACGGCATACCTAATTGGGTTCTAAAGGAATACGCCGAAATTTTAGCACAGCCCATAACGGACATTTTGAACACTTCCTACAAAGAACAAAAATTGCCGTCAGTTTGGAAATTGGCGAATATAACACCCCTCCCAAAGGTAAAACAAGTGACTGATCCCAAGAAGGAGCTAAGGCCAATTTCACTTACACCTGCGTTATCAAAACTTGCTGAGGATTTTATAGTTTCTGACTTCATCAAACCGGCCGTGGAAAAAGTAGCGGACCCAAATCAGTTCGGAACGGTATCTGGGTCATCCTCTGTACTGGCACTCATAAGCATGATACACAATTGGCTTGAAGCAACAGACGGAAACGGAGCGTCAGTTCGGGTCCTTCTTTTTGATTACCGAAAGGCCTTTGACCTAATAGATCAGTCCATCCTAATATCAAAACTGAATCAACTGGACATTCCGAAGAGCGTTATTAACTGGATAGTTGACTTCCTTTCAAATAGGTCTCAGAGAGTTAAACTTGGCAATGACTGTTTCTCTGAGTGGAGCAAAGTGCCTGCCGGAGTACCACAGGGAACTAAACTGGGCCCCTGGCTTTTCCTTTTAATGATAAACGATTTGTCAGTTTCGCTCGACAATTTTAATCTGTGGAAATACGTTGACGATACGACGGTATCAGAAACCGTCCCGAAAGGAAAGATTAGTCACGCGCAAAGTGCAGTTGACCAAGTACAGTCCTGGTCTGAGGAAAATCTATTTCAATTGAATTGCGCAAAAACCAAAGAACTGTTGATCAGCTTTAGCCCTCAATACCCCCAATTTCCAAAAACCAACGTGAACGGGGAACTAATTGAATCTGTGCAGTGTGTTAAACTTCTTGGACTCAATATTAATTCAACTCTAACTTGGAACAACCATATTACAGAAATAATAAAGAAATCCAACTCAAAACACTATTTTTTGATTCAACTTAAGCGGGCTAAAGTACCTACAATCGATCTTGTAGCAATCTATTGCGCAACCATCAGGTCCTGCCTAGACTACGCCTGCCCAGTGTTCCACCATGCACTTCCGAAATATCTACAAGTCGATCTGGAGAGAGTGCAGAAAAGAGCCCTCGCATGCATCTTCCCTGGAGCATCATACAAAGAAGCCCTCGGTCAAGCAAACATCCCAAGCTTGAGAACCCACCAAGAACAGTTGACATCGACTCTTTTCCGATCAGTTTTAGAAAACAAAAACAACAAAATTCATTCTTTAATCCCAAAAAGTTATCAGGCTAATTACAATTTTAGGAAACAGAGGAATTTCAATCTTTATCGTTGTAAGACCGACAGAGCGGCAACAAGTTTCATAAATATGTGTTGCAGAAACAGTTTGTACAATTAATTAATGTGAAGTTGAAACAGTTTGTACAATTAAGAACAGGTTTAATTAATGTGAAGCAGAAACAGTTTGTACAATTAATTAATGTGAAGTTACGCAATTCAGTTTTATCTGCAATGTAATTTTAATAAAACACAGTCTATCTATCTATCTATCTATCTAGTGTGATAAATGAAATGATGGCGATATCTGGAGCCACCATTGAACCTGGGAGTAGACACCATGCAGGGTTTATAGTCAGTGGACGCCCGCAGGAAATAGAAATGGCAAAGCAGTTTATTTCAGAAAAATTGGTTAGTTTCAAATTTGGTAATTTTAAGATTAACGTTATATTATATTGCGGGAGATGACGAACTTTCAGGGTTTTAAAGGATACTAACCAAAGCAAAGCAAGTTTTAACACCCTCATGTTCACCCTCAGTGTTCGGAGAGAGACGTGCTCCCATCAAATATTAAAAAGCAAATGATGCCAACAATAGAATTGCTTACTCAAAACTCTTTGATGTATAGCATAGGGACTGAATTGACCATCGGCTCCTTTTAATGGGAGGAGTTGGAAAATAAATGGGAAGAACTGGTAGAAATTCCAGACAGATACAAAGGCAGAGTGATTGGAAAACATAGAGCTACTTTACGCGAGATAGAGAACCAAACGGGGGTAAAACTTTTCGTGAAGGATGGAGAAGTATATATAGTCCGTGGAACACAACAGCAACGGCGACATGCGAAAAGGAACATTGGAACAATTTTGGTATGTTTAAATTTACAAATTGACTCTTAAACACGGAGCGAGATCGCTTTCTAACTGTTGGCGATATTTTCTGTGCGTATAAAGAATACAAATACTTGATCTAGACTATCCCTTTTTTGATCACTGAAATTCAGATTTAGCTGGCATAAGATTTAAACAGAACGAAAGCGTAGCACTATTGATTTTTCTCAGATTAGGTACAGCAGATTTGTGAAAATAACACGAATATAAGTTGTGCAGATACTGATCGTGATACATTTTTTGATAGTAGCTACCCACACTCAGCCGACAGGAAGACTGGAGATTGCGAAGATGCAGTCTGGCTTTCTTGATAGATAATCAACACGTTACTATTAACGAGATATCTTTCAAACTCGTCTGTGGTATCATCGATATTTGGTTAGTTTAGTCGACCTGCCCCATCGCCATCCATCTGATAATTGTAGCTTACTAACTTGGTAGAGTCTCTAATAGCCTCTGATGCAATTCACTGAGATTTGTTCATTTTGAATTGCCATAGAACAACTGCGACCTGAATTCTAGACTTGCGTGGCGTAAACCAGTAATTGGTGATGTGTTGTGTACGATAAAACCATCTTTCTTTCTTGATTACGTTGCCTTTAAAACTTTCAGGCTGTAGCAAGACTGACGGATTTTGAAAAAGAATTTTACAAAGTTTGTTCTTACGTCGATGGCTGTCATCTTCCTGAGAACTGTAAACTTAAGCTTGAGGAGATGCAAGTAGAGGATCGCATGCCGCTACCAGGGCTTCAAAGGCAATATCGACTAAAACCAGCTGAACACTGTGAAAGAGAGGTATTCTCCTTGGTTTCATTTTGCAATGGTAATATACACAAGTCAACGAGTCAACACATTCTTCTTCATCATGGTGATGAACAAGAGTTTTGAATGCATTGTGTTGCGTCGTGATGATGCGTTTAAAAATAGTCACAAAGACAGCGATATCAAAGACATCGGCCTGCGAAAAATCCTTCAAATTTATCTAGGTTTCAAGTTGCATTTCCACAGTGATGAGCCTTGTTTGTCAAATTGTATTATTAAACCATAAATGAACACATTTGACAACTGATACATTTTTATAATTTTAAGCTTGATTGAATTCCACGTCAGAATATATGAGCTCGTACACACCGTGATCAAGCATTCTTTGATGACCGCAAATCAGGTTGTCTTTGGTTTGAATACTTACGGGTGACCCAAATGTTTTATTTATCCATCGCTTTTGACAAAATTTGAACATCTTTCTACACATTTTCATGTTTCATTATAAGCCCATCTGCTTTTAGTTGTCACTACATTTTTGACTCGAGAACTAGAATTCTTATGGCTGCAATCTTAACACAATACTTATATGAGTATCTGGACAGAATTCGTACCATGACCGGAATGATCCCGTGTACCAATCCAATCTTAAAGACGAAGTTTTGATGTCCTTACGCAAGATTAAAGAGAACAGAGAGACAGATGAGAGTCCGAAGGCCGATATATGGTGTCACTTGGGAACTTCTATTATTAGAGTACCTGATGAAGGTAATATCCAATGTGGTTTGAATATTTTGCATCGATAAATAATAATTGAATTAAGTGTCCTACTCGTTGAAAAGTTTCATGCTCTTTTCAAATTCTTTTTCCTGTGTACCTTTCTCCTTTGTCCTCTCCAAGGTGTTTCATTGCGTCTTTTTCCTTCTTGTACTTAGCCCCGCATAAAAAAAAAATTGTTCTAGGTCATAATTCACCTTGCTCGCCAACCTGACGTACCTCTTGGAGAGGTACAATCTTAGCAATATTTCAGCATATTTAATATATAGATTTAGCCAAGCCTAAAAGCGGAGCTCGCATTTTTTTTTCCCGCACGTCTGACCACGCATGTTAAAAGTAGCACCTTGTACGGTCGTACGGTCGTACATCCAAATTTTTTCGGCTTGATGGGCTACTACTATTTACTACTACTAATTATGGGGCTTGTTTGTTTTTGTCTTCAGAGGATGTTATCCAAAAAACGTGGGACATCGAAGAGATAACAGAACGTTTTCAAAGGCCTGATACTGGAGAAAAAATGTTTTGGAAAGTCTCTTTTAGAGAGCGAGATGATATTCCTGAGGACATCTTTAAAAGAACTGGACTCAAAGAGATCACTGAAGATAATGAATACATCTCCAGATATGACCTAACATATTTGACGCCTTGTTTTTATAAACTTAGATGTAAGGTGAGTGCGAACAATTTCTTCCTATTTACGTTTTACAACCGACGAGTGTGTTACGCTCGTCTGTTTCTTTTTCACTTCGAATATTGTTTGCGTTTAATTCCTTTCTTTTCCCCCTCCGTGGCACATGGGTATATCAAAAAAGAAATTCCCCTTTGATGAAGTTTCGCTCCGTTTTGTCGACGTACATAAACTCTCCTAAAGTGCATCGTTTGCCAAAAAGTGAACCCATAACGTTATGACTACTAGCCAGGCAGTGGCTCATGCTTCACGTGCTGTGTTTTTCTTTCTTATAAAACAGGTGTGGGTGGCAAAAAGTAGCGTAAAGAAAAAGCTGGATGATATACCAATCCCTTTTAGTGACGTAAAGAATGTATTGGAAGAGATTCAGTTTGAAGATGAAACGACGCAATCACACTGTCGTGGATGGCTGGTATTTAAATCTCGAAAATATTTACAGACCGACATTCTTTTCCCTGGCTGCGAGCTAGACTGCAGGTTTACCATGCGTGAGCGAAGAGGCAAGTCTAACAATTTTTGTTTGGTCTTTGTCTTTATAAAACGCACGTCTCCTTGTTTCACTTTTCACTCTCCACCTACTCCCCCCCTCCTTCTCTCCTCTCCCTCTCACCTATCCACAACTAAATTTTCAGTAAAACATCATTTCTGTTGTTTAATTTCTCTTAAAGAGCAAGAATGTCATCTTTATACTTTCTGTTCAATAAGCTTTTGCAAATTCCCCTTTTGGTTGGAAAGTAAAGTTTCCGCCTATCCTGGCTGAAGGGTCCCTTTACCCCTATGGATACCCAAGTCCAAGTAAGAGCTTTGCTAAATCATGAAGTGCTTGCAGCACAGTTTATGGGATTTAAAAATGCATCGGTTCAATATAAATATTTCACTAAACTAGGTCAATTTTATTGATTTCGGTTAACAATTTTATGTAAAATTTGTCTCGCTACAGATCGTACTGCTATCAGAGGAGACGTACCCGAAATCGAAGTGAGACGTGCTTTGTCTGCATACCTTTCTCGATTAACTTTGACAGATAAGGATGCCTTCGGATTACTTCTTCCAGATCACGATTTCCCCGAAGGATTCCACTTACTCCATAAGCGATGTTGCAAGAGAAAAATGTACAGCACGCGTGCAGGATTCTTTGCCATACTTTCTCAGGAGGATTCGTGGTCCATTGACTTCTCAGGAAATGAAACAAGCAGAGAATCGGTAATAATGAATGTTTAACGGTTGCAAATGGCATAGTTGTATAAAAAATGATCGGTATGTTGAGCAAAACAACTCAATTTCCAGTCTTTCTAATTCTCTCCTTTTCTTGTGGAAATGGACAGACTGACCTCCACTTACATAGCGAAGAGTGCGACAAACTTCTAAGTAGCACAGATTGGCAACCGGAAACCATAGTTCAGAAACTGCCCGAATTGATTCAATTTGTAAAGGAAATTCAAGACTTTGTTGTACGGGAAATGAAAGGAAATGGATCCACGAGAACAGGTGAGGAAACAAATCTTTCTTTCATGTACTTGTAATAAATCGGCATGAGTTGTTATCCCCACTGCATTTTCTTCTTCTAACGTCGGATAAATTTAACGTGGCCAATTATTAGAAGTTAAGAGTTATGATGAAGACCACTTTAAAAATGGATACGTTTTCTATACATATTGCCAATTCAAGTAATAATGCGCCGGGAACGCGTCTACATGCCTCTTAACAAAGTCGTCAATTTATACTTCTCCCCATTACCTAATCGATCCAATGTATTAGAGGAAATATACCCTGTTTGCATTAAAAATAGAACTCGATGGATTGGTTGATTATTTGGTTTTGTTTGTTTGCATGTTATCTATTTCTTGTTGGTTTAATTCACTTTAATTTCGTCTTGATAGTTGAGATTTATTAATGTGTGTTTCTCGACTGCCATATTTACAGTTCCTCCAGAGATTCGTGCTCGTGGTCCTTTAGCTTTGGAAGCCTACAACAATGCACTGGCCGAAGGTCAAGCTTGTGTCAAGAGAGTGCCTCTAATGATAGTTGGACAAGATCGGGCTGGTAAAACCAGCGTGAAGAAGTCATTGAAAGGGATTTGCTTCAACCCTGATGAAGATAGCACCCTGGGAATTGAGGTCGATCGCTATGATTTTAAAGTAACCACCGAAATATGGAAGACAGGAGAAATAGATGAGGAGGCCAACATTGATACCACAGTTACTTCATTTGAGCATAGTGCAGCACGGTGGATTGCAGAAAAATTGACAATGCATGAAAAAATTGCTGAAGTAAAACAAACAAGCTCAACCGAGTCAGCTGGCTATGATTTTGAAGAAATTGACGACGCAAAGGAAGGGGAACCCTATGAGACTTTAAGTGACGCGAACCTTTTAGAATCATCCATAAATCCAGCATCAACCAATACCACCGACGATGAACCTAATTTATCAACGAGAGAAGTACGAGACCCTAAAGAATTAGAACCAGAAGAAGCCTCTCAGTAAGGGAAAATCTAAAGTGATTATGACTTGCGTTTACGAGGCCTTTATACGCAAGTACCACTGATAAAATTTATGACCTTTTGAACTGCAGAACAATACCCTCAATTAGTGAATGGCCCGTCCCCGTTTATTTTTGAACGTCGTTGCGTGAGCGGATAAAAAAAAAAGCAAATCTACGAGAAACGTGAGCGCGCGCAAGGAAGGGAGTCGTTTCGAAAAAAAATCAAAGTGCTCTGTGAGCAAACTCGTGAATTGACACATGATTTTTTAGATTATGTTTAATGTTATCTGGTTTAGGGAATTTTGTGGTTGATTGTCATATCTAGAGTACCAGCAGTAGTTCAGTGTTCGCTAATGTAGCAAAGAAACAAAGTAACGTTGGGATAAGAAGGCATTACAATTGAAATGATCATGCTATTACATTTGACAAGGTGGATGATGTCATGTGTTTTAAACGTCTATCATTTTTGTTTCTGGTTCAAAAGAAAAGGTTGGAAGTAAATGTGGGTGAAAAGTGAAATTTACTGTCTTTCGTTGTAAATATTAGAAAATCAAGGCAATACTGTCTTAATGAAAACATTAACGATTCCCTCTTTATCAAATGAGACAAACGGGAACGAGTTTTGAGTGATATAACTAAGCCAAGCCTGCCACCGTCATTTTGGATCTCCGCCTGGGTAGATTTAAGTCACGTGCTAGGCAACGTATAATCAATAACAAGATAGTATTTCATTTCAGGCCTATTTATCAATTTTGTGGTGTGTAACTTTCGCATTTTAGTACGTTGTATGTATGTTGAATCTTCAAATTGTCTTGAAACTTAAAAGAAAATTGTTCTTTAAAAATTCACTGAAAATCGGTAGCTAAAATTGTTTGTTTAGGTGTTATTTGATTTTCTTGTTAACTTGTTATTTCGTCAGTCGCCGGCATCTTCTGTTGCTTCACACAGGAAAAACACACGCGACGAAACGTAATGATCAATTTTGTCCTCAATCTCACGCTATAACAGAAAAAGCTTTTGAACATCTGTAAACTCCGAGCACTTCGCAGTGATATTTTCAATGAATCTTCGGATTTTTTTCAAGTTCAAGGATTGTAAATTACAATTCTATGAAAAACGAAGGTTGTTCTGTTATTTCAGTGTGAATCCTTGCATGCCTGCCAGTCGCTGGCGCCGCTTGTTGAAACTAAAACGAAAAAAAAAAACTCTTTTAAGATTATCATTGGCTTCTTTTTCACTCCACCACTATTTTTAGCAACAAAGGTCGCCATTTCGTCTGTTTATTGCTCGCCAAAAACTATAAAATGCACTCAAAAGCCTAAAATCTAAAAAAAGTTTACAGGAATCGACCAATCGAGCGAGCGAGCGAATGCTATTCCCCACATCGTAACTATAACTCGCTCTTGCGCATGCGCACAATTCACGAGTTAAAAAGGAACAAAAAACGACGGTTTAAACAAGCAAGTCCAAACAAGTCACCATTTTTTTTTTTTCACTCACCTAATGCAGTGATGAACATTTTTTGTTTAAGAACTTGTGGCCAACCGGAGAATAAAGTCACTGAAACGGAAAAAGGTGCGAAAATCGCACCTATTGTTTTGCCTTCAACAGCGAGGTTTATTTGCTTCAATAGACCAAAACACAAAAACGCGAGCCTGACAATAGTCTAAGAAAACCAAAACCAACCCGCCTTTCTATATAATCTCAACATCGATATTTTTTTAATATAACCAGAATTTGTGGCATTGAAGTCGATAGTGAGTTCCTCATTGACAACGCAATAATGTCGGTTGGTATTTTGTTCGCTTTTTCTTTTCGCTTGCTGTATGGAGCCTTCCAAACAAAAGTCCCAACAAAAAAATGTGCCAGAGTGTGCTGCCGGCCAACTACGCAACACCCGTCATTGACCAAGCGAAAATAAAACTCTATAAATTTAAACCGCTAATCGTCATAAACTGCTCACCCCTGACGCTACTGTTTATATTCCTATCCCATCTTCCATACTGCATCAGCCAATCTGCCGCTCAAGTCCTTTTACCTTGCCTTTCTGTCTGCGTTTGCTGTTTCTGCGCACTTCAAGCGGAAAAAGTGATATCAGTCAAGCGTAAAAAGGTGCGAAAATAACACCTTTTTGTTTTCTTGGCTTGCATACTCTTTTATACTCATCGCGCTAATAGTTGAACATTGACAACGCGAGAAGAAATTTTCAGCAGAATACAATTTAGACTTCTGCGATCAGTCCTTAAGGCCTGCCTGCGTAAACGGGCCTTAAGGAAAACAAATATTGAGCGAACACAGCTTAACTGCGTCCTGTCCTGGCTTATAAGCTCTAGACCGCATTTTCAATCACTCCAAGCTACTCGCGGCCCCTTGCCGTGAAAACATGAACTGAAAACAAACTATTATGTCACAAGCGGCTGAATTCCAATTTATTTTATACTGACGGCTTATCTTGCCTCTGAAGAAGTCAGAGGAAGTTACTTCAAGAGAAAATACATTAACGGTCCGCTCGTTTCAAACACTGTATGACAATCGTTACCCTGGACAATTACTGACGGTTATAGCGGGTTTCGCCCATAACGAGTTTCGCACATATCGTTTCGCCCAGAACGAGAATGGTTTCGCCCAGAACAATAAAGGTTTCGCCCATAAGTAAAACTTCTACACTCTCACTCGGAAAACGTCAACCTTATAAACGTTTGTATGCACAGAATGAAGAAAAGTGACTTGACCTAAGATCATGAAATTTTGAAACGAACAAGTTACTGTTGAAACGAACAAGTCAATTTTTTTTTTTTGTACACGGAAGATAAGTTCCGCACGCCAGCTTATGAATGAACATTGTATGAACAGAAAACAAAAGCCCGGTTACCGGGCTCATCTAAAGCATATGTCTAAAGAGGCCCTTAGCCTGGATAATCACTGACTGTCAGTCTGGGCGAATCGAATTTATGCCTGGGCGAAACCATTCTCGTTATGGGCGAAACGCTTCTTGGGCGAAACTCTGTGTGGGCGAAACCCGCGGATACCTTACTGACTAACCCCTGTTAGTCTGTTCAAATTTTCCCAAGTAGACTACCGCTGGGGAAAAATGTCATCGCCGACAATTTGCCGAATGAATCCGAATCAAGCAGAGTAAAAGCTCGTGATACTAAATAGAAAAGTCCCTAAGGATGGATAACAAAAGGCCAATTGTATTAAAAAATCCCAACCATAACAATAGGCAAAGTTTGATATGATTTGCTTATCAAAACGCTGGAAAAATTGCAGGATTTCGACGATGTTGTAAAGCTACTTCCCCAGTTCCTTCGAGAGAACTCGAAAGATGATAAAGAAGACATCTATTCTATACTGTGGGACTTTGCTGGACAGTCAGTTTATTACGTGACGCACCCCATCTTTCTCACGAGAAGAGCAATCTACTTCTTGGTTTATGACTTGAGTAGAAATCCAAGCGACAAAGCCAAACCATTGGTGAAGCGGGGAGTTTATAGAGAAATTGAAGATAGATATAATCTAAAAACGAACTTTGATTATTTAGACTTTTGGATGAGTTCTTTGGCTTCCTTAGTGAGTGATTGCCAACAAGTGGAACCCGAAAAGTTGGTGCCATTGAGGAAATTCCCCGCCGTTTTCCTGGTGTGCACACATGCTGATCAGCCCTATTGCGATCATAATCCATTTAAACTAGCCAGTGAAATATTTGGCGACTTAAAGAACAAGCCATATGGTGCCCACTTGTTTGACGTATTTTGTGTTGATAACACTAAGTCAGGCACTGAATCCGAATGTAAAGAAATTGTGCGCTTACGAGAGGCTGTACATGTCGTTTCTAGAGAGTTACCACACGTAACCGAAGCTATTCCGATCAAGTGGTTGAAATACGAAAATGTCCTTCGCGTCCTTATGGAAAAGGATCAGAAGTTCATCTCTCTCTCTCGACTGCGAAAAAAATCGCTTCCAAGTGTTGCAACATTAACGACAACGAGGTACAGACAGTGCTTACCTTTTTTCACGACCTGCAAGTATTGATTCACTTTGACGACTCTCCAGAATTGAGTGAGTTAGTTACTTTGGATATTCAGTGGTTGATTGACGTGTTCAAGAATGTAATAACTGTCAGGGCTTATCACGAAGAGAGAGACTTTGCTCCTCTTTGGGAAAAACTCGAGAAAAAAGGAATCTTGGAAGAAAACCTCCTCAAACATGTTTGGAACTCTTTGGTTCCTCAGAAAAAAACCCACGAAAGTCTTATTGCGATTATGGAAAAATTCAGCTTGATGTGTCCTTGGCCATCATCAGATGACTTGTGCAACAAACATTACTTGGTGCCATCTATGTTGCGAACGCTTCCACCAAAGCAGATAAGTGATCTAGTAAACTCTGCCCAACTCCCCTCTCTTTTTCTCAAATTTGATACAGGTCGGGTCCCGCCTGGCCTATTTCCCCGATTTGTGCTGGAATTTTTTCAGTGGTGTAGAAAGGAATTTCCCGGCGTAGATCTGCCCAAAACTTATATCAATTTTGCCAGATTCAACATCTTTCCGAGTCAAGGTCTCTCCCTGGTTCTCCTCTGCCACTCTTCCACAATTGAGGTCGTTGTCCTCAGTGTAAAAAGTGCTATTGATGTGGTCGATGTGGAATCAATTCGAGCTTTTCGTAACCAGCTAACCTTGATCATTGATCGGGTGTGGAAAAAATTCTTTTGGGTGAAGAACATTAGATGCGAAGTGTGTTTCCTTTGTCCTGTTTGTTCCTATGGACGCGTGGTCAGCTTGTGCCCACAACATCCCGGAGAAAGTTGTAAGCAAGAGGAATGCCTTCACTTCATTTCAGAGTCAGATTTAGGCGATGAAAAGCAGGCCGTGTGTACCAATTCTGATACCGCTGTGGATAACAGGATTCATGCCGAACAGTTTGCTCCTTGGATTTCTTCTCGTAAGGAAAAGGTTAGAAAAAATGTTTTTTTCCATGCGTGAATTAGTAACATAATCAATTAGCACGTACGTTTGGGCAGCAAGATTGTTACTGTCATTCGTTGTCGAATTCTCAACAATTCTAAACACGAGCAAAGAAAGAGCTGATCGTGTATAGTAATGCATCTGTAATATTTTACAACAACAGAGAGAATTGTTGAATCGTATGTGATTACAGCGTTCTTTCTTCCTAAAACATTTATGTCATAACAAATTAGATTGCCAAAACCATCAAGAGATGCCAAATATCCTCCTTAGCATTACATCTTCGATAATTTTACATGACTACATTATAATAGTTTAAACGGCGAATCGCAAATATTGGCTGCTTTTACGTGTGAACGCAATGTGATTAAGACTTAAAGGAGAGGAGATTTGCCAAAGTCTCTTTTTGAAGGTCATTTGATGTCAGGTCACATTAAGACTACCTTTTTCACGGAGTTACACACTCCACTCAGATACACCACCGGCTAATTGGGCAATAATTCGTTTTCATACGAATGAAAACGGCTTAATTTACCCATAAGAGCCCATATTGGCTACCTTTTTTTTCTTAATTTTTTTTTTTATCAACAGGAGTTGGCGACCCGTCAACGTGGAGAGGGGCCTAGACTTGGGAAAGGTTAGCCACCACTTTGATCTCTCACTACACACTTCGTGTCAGTTGATTTGTTTTAGCGATGAGAGACGTATCTTTCCACGGTTATTCTGTAGTTTCGTATTTTAAGCTTACCATAAACGATTCCTATCGTCCAATTAATTTTTTTCTTTCCAGGTGTCTCAGATGGGTATCAGAGGAAATCGCTCGTGTTGCCAAGCGAAGCTGTAGCAACACTTCAGTTACAACGTCCAAGTGTAGGCGGTGAAGGTGACATGTTGCTAGTTCCTTCTGCACAAGGTCAGTTATTGTTCATTTTTCGTATTTTATCATTTCACTTTAATTACAAGGGGCTTGAATGCATCCTTTTCTAACCTAGCAGGGAACCCAGGATATTATCAAGTCCAGCCTCTCGTAGCTGAACAGTTTGAAGGAGAATTTAAGCAACTTAAGGATGCTGTTAATGAGAGCAAAGGGACAGTTGTTCCTGTTTCAAAGGGTTGGTTGGCTGTAAATTGTTTAGTATGATATGGTTGTTTTTTCCTAAGTTTTGTATGAAGAAAAATGGTCTTTTTCGCCTGTCGTTATGGCCTATCGTTAAGGGTATTCTTAATGGACTTTTGTCATCGAAATAATTGTAAACATGTTTTTCTTTACATTTCCTCATAAATAATGAGTAATCAGAAGTAAATTCGCACATTTTAGGGTATGGAGAAAGATCTCTGGCGCTACCTCACGATGTTTCCCAGTCTCTCAAGTCCAAATCAGTCCCTGCAAGAGATATTGTCTGTAAACTGCTGAATCTCTCATCGCTGGAAGCTCCAGCTCCTGACGATAGAAAATGGATCCGTTGTCTTATGAGGGATGCTAAGTACTATGATAGAACTGATGTGGTTAATTTCTTGAGAGAAAATGCACCGGCGGGCACAACAGGTAAAATTGGTTCATTATTGCCAGAGCTCGTCACTGAATTCTGTGCTGTAGAGCAATTAGGATAAATATTGTTACTACTTTTATTAAATGAGATGCCGATTCATTACGGGTATCCCCCCCCCCTTCCTCAACTTGGATATGGTTCCCTCGGCAGTTCGCTGGTACCAATTAATACTTAGGCGAAGGAGGGTATCTCATAGGGAGAAAATTGTCTTTCTCAACATAACAAGCTGACCACTCGATCCAGATTACAGAGCATGGACCCTTAACACACCGTATTTCTCACATTATATTTAACCTCGCTTAGATAAGGACGATGTCAGATTTATCTTCCTTTCGCTGCCCCTTTTGTTCATGATCACTTCTGTCGTTAATGAGATTTGAAAACAAACATTTGACGATACTAAAGTACTTTCGTTTCCTTTCCTTTTCATAACGGTTAGAACAAAATCTTAGGCAACTCTTAAATAATCGTTGATCTGTTACACTGATATAGAATCCTCCTATTCTACCACTTTCAAACTGAGATCTGTTAAGGTATACTTTCTGTAATACAAACAATGCCGGGTCGTTTGATATAGTTTTCCAAAATGTTCGCGTTTCGACCGTTTCAATTCTAAAAATTAATTGTCAGAATTGATTGAATGTAGAAGACTTTATAATTCCTTTTTACTTCTAGGCCCTCGGCTCGAAGAAAGCCGCAGTGTTATGAAAATTCCATGGAGACGGAGAACTGACTTAGCTGTTCGTTTGTGTGGTGAGTTAGAGAGCAGTTTTTTAATTTATTTATTTTGCACTTTTTTTGTATAAGTCGCTTGTACCACGGGCAATTGCTGTAACGTATAGACATAACGTAATCTGTGGGTTCTTCTCAGCTTCCTATCATTACCAGTTTAAGAAAATATTGTTATTAACTACTATGATTAGAAGTATTTGGGAACTACTAAAATTAGGAAGGTTCTGACTTAATGTTTGAGGAATTTTTAGGCCTTTTACATTATCTTGAAATCGTTATGCTGGTCTTGTGAGCCTTGGTTTGTTATGAGCTACAAGACCACTCTTTTATGGGTTTGTCCTTGACCTTTCTGAAGAGTCCTCAACGGGAAACTTCCATAACTTTTAGCAAACCTGTCATACGTTATTTCGTTCTAACAAAGGGACTTATTCAAGACTCAGGGCCAAAAAAAACTCGCCTTTGCTGTCTCGTTAGCGTCAAAATCTGGCTTTAACTCATTCTTAAAACCGGAGAAAAGTTTGAAGTTGCATGACTTTTATTTTGGTTCATATTTTCCTCTCTATCATATCGAAATTACAAGTAGCAAGTTTGTTTGAGGACTTTATTGGCAATACACAAGTTTTATTTCATTCCTTTGCACTAATAATGATTGTTTTATTTGAAGCACTCTTACCTTTCCTCTGAAAAGCTTCAAATGTTATTTCCGCTGTAGGATACTTATACATAGAAATACTTCTTAAGTTATGAAAACAAATAAAGATTTTGTTCTTTTTGTATATGGGTACTACACTTATATATATATACATATATATATATTTATAATTTATCTTCCTTTTCAGGAGGCGAAGAGTGGAAGATCGTTGCTGACCGACTGGGTTTTGAAGATGCATACATTCGTTGTTTTGACAATCGTTTTAAAAACCCTGTTGAGCTTATTCTAAACCTCTCTGGCTTAAATGTGGGGGAACTCTACGACGTGTTAGTAGAATGTGAGTTCCCCTTACTCGCGGATTTGTTGTAGGAAGGCCTAATTTTACCCCTGCATTCAGGTCGTCCAAGTTTTAAATCACGCGCCATGATCTAACGACGCGTATGGGTAAGAGGCAGGTGTTTTGTTGAGGATGTAAGAATTTATTTCTCGTTAAATGAGTTTTGATAACTAGATGCATCCTAGAAAAATTGAAGCTCCAAGAAGTTGAGTAAGTGACTAGTGATATGTATTTAGATACATGTACCAGAACGAAATTTACATGTAACCCTTTCATGCTTGATCGGGAACCCGGAGAGGACTCCTTTGCTGGCGCTTTTTAAACAGGTTTCAGTGTAGATACTCCAGAATTGAACACTGGTTATTTAGTCTAACAATTCGTGGAGAGTTTTTTCTCTGCTAGTCAGTTGCTTTATTTGATAAAGGAATTTTTCTCATCTTCAAAAGCTGGGAATATTGAAAGAGAACACCCCAACGAATGCACATTTGTAGAAATGGATTTTGAGTAAATCATAGGGATAAATGCGATGAGAAGTTTTGAAAATCAGAAAATCAAGTTTTGAACCGAACTTTTGATCTGCTAACTTCCGTTTCTACCATCTAAATTTGAATTTTACTGGTCATTATTAGCACTAGTTAGGAAGACAGTATCCTTAAATTAGCTATGCCAAGTGTATCAACTGATTAACTCCTTCAGAGAAGCTACCATTTACGCTTTGCGAATATTTTCAGCTATCGAGAAGTTTGATTCGTCAAGGAAACAATGTTACAAAAATGAAGCTGGAGAATGCGGCAGGGACAGTTGTCTGTTTTCAGTTACATGTAATAATCTCCAAATCAATATTTCAAGCATTATCATTGGCTTACTGTCATCAATGTAATCATCATGATCGTTGCTATTATCTTTTTGGATGTTAGGTAGAATAAGAAAAGGTTCGATTTCGGTCTTTGAATAAAGAGAGAGGTCAGACCGAGAATGTGGGTCAAATCTTCGTCCCGGAAGAAAAGGAGACCCCTATCTTCTATAGTAGAAGGATAAAACCTTTATGCTTCTATGCATAAAAATTGCAATACAAAGTATTACACAAATGTAATCTGTCCTATCTAGGGAAACCTGGGCCATCGAAGACTGATTTGGTTTCCGTCATAAAGAAACACAACAAATTTGATTATTTAATTTTTGAAACGCTACAACAACAGCAACATCTATTTTTTTGGGTCATTGTCTTTTCCTTTCTTGAGAAAGAAAAAGACAATATCGATTAATTACTTTTAATATTTTTTTCTCAGTGGGTACGGTAACGAGTCCTGCAATTTTTTAGTACGGTCCGGATTTTCCTATCTCTGCCCACGGTCACGGTAATGCTTTCCCGAGTACATCCCTAGCCTCGTTGCCATTTTTCAGCAAAACTGTTTTCGAAATGAATTTGAAGTAGCAAATGTGTCATCGGTTTGAGCGTATCGCCTTTCAACATCAGTTAGATTGCGTAAGGCGTACGACACAGCTCACCATTGCCCATCCTGAAATTGGAGTAACACCGCTCCACCGGAGTGTTGGGAGTTTTAATTTTCGCTTCACAAAAATATCTTTCAACTGTGGGAGATCTCTATGACGTTTTGAAAGACTGTGGGCTGCCTGTCATTGCCGACTTTCTTTGAAACCAGTAGTTTTCTTCCACTTCGAAGGATCCGGTAGCAACTAATTCAACCATCAAGTGCAGAATATCTTATCAAATAAAACCGCGAAAGCGAAAGTCACATAAAATAAGCCGGAAATTAGTCAGAGCTCCTGATGCACCTATTCACCGGAGCCCGCGGTAGTTCTGTAGTGGATGATGGAGGTTCTTTCGGGGAACGTGCTAGAAGTATTGTAAATGATCCCACTAGGGCGATGATCGATGTCTTTGACAGATCTATGCAAGCACCTTTAAAAAGCAGGTAATTTAGTGTTAACAACTGAGTTGAAAACGTAAATTAGCCACGGTAAAAAAGCTGACGTTTCGAGCGTTAGCCCTTCGTCAGAGCGATTGGAGGAATTGTGGGTTGTGTGTGGGTTTATATGCAGAAAGTGGAGCTACACCATTGGTGGGAATATGGTGACGAGAAAACAGGATAAATTAGTTGAATGAAAAGCGCTCGTAGATTCCGTGGGGATTAAGGGTGCCAATTTGGAAGATAAATTTTTGTTGTAGTGTTTTACGGCTTTCCGAACTGCCTAATTGTAAGGAAAGGCCGCAAACTGCCATATGCTGTTTAGAATGATTAGGAAGATTAAAGTGTCTAGCGACTGGTTTGGATGCGTCCTTGTCATTTCTTTCCACGTCGCGAAGGTGTTCTCGGGATCGGTCACCTAGTCGTCTTCCTGTTTCGCCGATGATAACTTATTGCAATAAGTGCAAGTTATGCAGTAAATACATTGGCGGAGGTACACGTAAAGTGATCAGCGATCTTAATAGATCTCTTGGGTCCCGTTATTTTCTCTACGTTGTGCATGAAAGAACAAGTTTTGCATCGTGAGCGAGCGCATTTAATAGTTCCAGATTGGTCATTGGTTTGAAATGAACACCTGACTAAAAAGTTGCCTATGTTTTTGTCACGTTTGAATGAAATAAGTGGGGGTTTCGAAAAGATAGTGCCAGTCTCTGAATCGTTCTGGAGTAATTTAAAATTTTTAAGAATGACAGATTTAACTGCGTGGTTGTGAGGGTGAAATGTTAGAGTAAATGGAATCCATCACACGTTAAGAACTCCATACCTTTTTCACAGTTTCTCAGACTTCTTTGTTTATGTAGTGACGACTCTGGTTATTTCGAAAAAACCAGAGGCAATGTGCCAGTTGTTCGATAACCATGGCTACCCTGTTTGTGTCGTTCAAGCGGGCCACCACCGTGCCCAACAAATTGATTGACAGTCAGTACTACAAACGGCTGAGAAGGAAAATACTGAACATTTTCATTTACTCTTTCTGCATATAAACCCACACACAACCCACAATTCTCCAATCGCTCTGACGAAGGGTTAACGCTCGAAACGTCAGCTTTTTTTCCCTTTACGGTGGCTAGTTTACGTTTTCAACTCAGTTGTTAACACTAAATTACCTGCTATACTCTCCCACCGACGCAGCACCTCAGTTTCTTTAGAAACTTGCCCCTTTTACCTTTAAAAAGCCATTGCTTGGACCTTTATTATTTATCCGTAGTTGTGGAACTTTTCCTATTTCATAAAAATAAAACAGAGTATTTAAGGTGAACTCAAAATCACTCTGAGCATGGACATAACGGATCAATATTTGTTCCTGGGGAACTGAGCTCGACGTGTTTCCGAGGAATAAATATTAATCAGTACACCCATTCCACAAAAAGTGGGCCCAATAGCCATTTTCAATGTCTTTGTTTTGCGGAGGCCACAAGAAAAGTTATAGCCGTACATTTTTAGTGCCCAGGTAGAGTAGACATGGTAAGTTCAAAGCCCCAAATGCAAAGTCGTATGTATCTTATACCATTTTTTTGCATTTGGAGCTCAAAACCCCCTAAAAGTACTTTTTTTCAGTGTCCACGATGGAACGGTAGAACAAACATCTTGATTATAAACCTCTGAATGATCCCCGGGTAAACATTCGATATGTGTAAACCGTCCAATAGTAAATGAACTTAAAATAAATTTTGATGTTTCATAGTGCACTGCATTAGTCCGATTTTAGTAGTCACAGAATTGATGTCCACAAATTCTTTGTAACTTCCGTTACCGAAATAAGAAAAGTAATTTAACTGCGTTAGAAATCCCTGTATAATCTCTTCTTACCGTCAATTACTTATTGTTTCATCGCAGTTTCAATATTTTAAGTCATCACCTCCTTTTCTACAAGTGGCAATGATAGACTTCCCTTTGAATGAGGCCGAAGAGCACCGTATGGTTAAGAATGTAACTTCCGTTACCAGTGTTTAGCGAAAACAAAAGTTCCTTTGCTTCAAAATGTTCTGTGCAAGTACGAAGGTACCTACAATCAGTAAGCTCACAGACTTATATTAACTGGCTTGTGTCTTGGAAAGAAGTGGAGGCACAAAAGATCTCAAACTGTAACTTCCGTTACTGTAACTTCCGTTACCATTTATTTTGGAATATCTTAAATACGCGTCCTTTGGTTGAGTTGCACTTTGGAACATCATCTGGCTGTCTAAAGTCGCGGCAAAATAAACATGACTGACATTATTGACATTCCAGTGTTACGCAACAACCCCTCCGTTGCCGTATTGCGACACATTCGCCAAGACCGAAGCGTTTGTTACAAATTTCTCAATTTTTCATTGTCAGTCGTTCATCGAAATTGACAAAATCCAAAGGTGAGTAGTATCAATATGATGTACATACAAAATTTATTTGTATTGACGTTTTCTTTTTTGGCTAAAAGCCTCGTTTTCTGTCAGACAGTAAAAATGTAACGGAAGTTACAAAAACTGGAAGTGGCTTGTTAGGGCCTTAAAACGGGTTTTGGAGTCACAAGAATGAAAATTTTGAACATCAGAGTAGAATATATCGTAAAAATAATCATATCTAAATGTTTAAGCTGTAGGCGTTTAGAGATATTTATGAATAAACCAATTTTAAACGGCGTATTTAAATAATAAAACTGAATCGTTGCGTGACATAATTGGACCTACTCTTCACACGATCGCAGATGCCAAAAAGTCGTGCAGAGATTCAAAAGGCTTACCGTGAAAGGCAAAAACAGAAAGAAGGGAGAGATTACGTGGAAAGAGAGGACAAAGAAAAAGAAAAGCCTACATACCTGCTGCAAATTTGGATGACAATGCCCTTAAGAAGCGAAGACTGGACCAAAAAGCCCGGGTGGAAAAATACCGGAAAGAACAGAAAGAAAAACAGTGTGCCATCGAAAGAGCAGCAGAAGCTTCATCCACTCAAAAACGTCAAACCCGGAGTGCCTCTAAAGAAGCTGAAAAAGTGCCCCATTTGATGGTAAAGTTCAGTAACCCTAACCCTAACCCTAACCCTAAGATCTCTATATTTTCTTCTTTGTAGGAGCAGAGCACTTTAATAGTATGATTTTTATTTACATGTTGCCCTGTATTAAGTATATACTACGTTGATTTTGAATAACTTAAAAACGAGAACTTAAAAAAGTGGAAAATTATTTTAAAGATCGGTGATTTTTTTGCCTAAAGTGATTTTCAAGTAAGTACAATAAAATGTTTCATAACTACGGAAATATATGACCTTTGGTGCTAATTTTTGAGGTATTTACTCTTCGATATTTGCGCTTTAAATTGAATGATTCGCCACGTACTTTCTGTGAAACTGATTTTTTTCGATTTTCCAAGTGACATTGGGCCCACTTTTTGTGGAATGGGTGAGTAACTGTCTCCTTGATGACAAAATGCAATAATTCCATCATGCCTTGCGATCGCCAGGCATCATTGCTGTCTGATCGAGCACAACATCAGCCATGACGGAAGTACTTCTAGTTGCGACATAGCTCGATTCTCTCAAACATTTCAGTTCTAAACGATCCGTTTCCCGGTGAACTAAGCTACAAAAGGTTATAGTGAAAACCGATCGACCGGAGAGCTTTTTCAGCCTTTTTCAAATAGACGATTTGTGAATTAAACATAAACCACCACCAGAGACAATGGTAAGTTACAAATTTACTTAAGGATACGGAAATGGCATGATAACTTCTTGCATTGTTTACGTAGTATCATTTCACATTCGTATTGTAAAACTATGGAGAAAAAAACCTCATAGACGAAAACAGGAAAATACACAGACGTGTTTGAAATTCGATCAGCATTTCCTTTGCGTTATTAAACATGAATCACTGATAACATTTCTCTAGCGATGGACGCTCAGATCTTCATTTGCCATTCAAAATATTTAAAATGTGATTGCTGATTGTTACTAAGCGTCTGATCTTTCGACAATTTTTATTTTCTTATTTAAACGAACTTGATGGTAACGGAATTAGAAAAGCATTAGTCGCTGTCGAATGATCGATTATCTTGAATGAGGTCATTTAAAAAAAAAATCAAACAGCATAAATAACATTTGTGATCACGCAATTGGCTTTTCACAATTGCTTTATTTGCGATGAATGTACGTGTATGTAAATCATTGAAGTTTTTTTCTCTCACATTTACGCGAATTTTTCTTAAGAAAATCTTAAATCATAACAAAATATTATACTTGCTAGAGATCGATGGGTTAACTTTAATTGTAGATGATCAAGCAATGATTTACCAAATCTAAAGGTCTTGTTGTGTAATTTTCCGTCAGTTGCGGTGAATAGGTAAGTTAACCAATATTGTAGCTACCTCTTCATGCAAATGAAACGGGCAGTAACTTTTGACTTGTCAATTTTCGGTTTACTTTTCCAGTTATTTGCAGAATCAACCAGCTGAATAATATCGTTCGCCCTCCCGGAAGTACACGAATTTTCTCGAACGCTTCATCAAGTTCCGTTAAGAATTGTTCGAATTATTCTCTTTTAAAGCATAACATAACTTGAGAAGCATGATAACTTACGATGTAGCATCACAGTTGTCTTTGATTAGGTCACCGCTTGTCAAGATTATTAGTCATAGATTTACACTCACCACGTTTGTTTGTACTCGATAAAAATCATTTTTAAAAGTGTACATGTCTTGATATACTAAATGGTTTGAACTGGTTTGAAATAGTTTGATATCATTTGACCGAGTGGTTTGGGTGGTTCTAAGAAGGACCATTTTGAAAGTAGCGACTGACTTTTCGACAACTTCACTAAAAGTCGGTATTAAAGTCGAGCGTAGAGTTGTGGTCAGGAGAGTGTTTTAAGTCCATTTCGTGTAAATTAATTGGTTAGTTTCGATATGTAGTTATTGCCTTTAAGACTTTAGTGGCTCTACGCCAATTGAGTATAAATAATAATGGTAATAATAATAATGATTTATTCAGGTTTTCCAGACCATGAGTTGTTGCTTTTCATCCAGAATCTAAAGCCACACGATTCATAAACTTATCACAGTCCACCACTGGTTTAAAATAATTTCAATACAATTTAGGTAATCTTAATGCGATAGTATATATATGTATATATATATTTCTATATGAGTACTGTAATTTGCTAAAAATAAAACTATGCAAATAAATGAATAATTGCCTATCTTTTGCAACAGTATTAAAATAATGGTTGCTTCCCCTTCTCAAAAAGTCCCTGTCTGATATGTTCCTAACGTCCTTAGGGAGGCTATTAAAGACTTTGGCAAAAATATGTCTTTTGGAACTGTCAATGGTAATAATAATGATAATAATAACACTAATAATAGTAATAATAATGACAATAATGATAATAATTATTAAAATGAGCAATTTCAGAGACAAAAATATATCTAAAAGGTAAAAACCAAACGTTTTCGACAGCTAAGTCATCATGAATTACGATGATGATGATGACCTAACGTCGAAGATGTTTGGTTTTACTTTTTAGATATATTTTTATCGTGTTAATAGTTCATTTTTTAACCTAAGCAAACTTTATGGACAATGATGATGATGATGATAATGATAGTAATAATAATAATAATAATAATAATAATAATAATAACTGTTTTTTCAAAATTAAACCGAAAAGCGAAAAGGAGATAAAAGAAGTTATACCTTTCTAGATTATCTCCTCCTAAAAGTAATTAAAATATTTGTAACTGTTTTAAAATGGAAAAATGTCACACCTTCAGTTAGATTAATGTTCACGCAAAACGCTCGTAAGATAATATTTGAGTCTACTCCTATAAATGTTCAAATTGTCCACCTCAACGATTTCTCCTGGCAAATAATTCCATGAATCAATTATACAAAGAAAATAATATTTAAACTTTTTTAAAGGTGGGGATGCAGACTTAAGTTTGAAACAGCGCTTAGCTCTCAAGGGTCGAAAATCATTTGCGAGTATAAAACAGTCTGAGGGGTCCGAGACCATTGTCTTATAACGCTCAGAGAGCGAAGAAAATAATCTTCTTTGATACCACGTTGGCCATTTAAGAAACTTTAGACTTTCTTCGAAGGACAAATCCCTCCCAATATATCTGCATTTTTCTTGAAGAGAAAAAAGCGTATGTTCTGATATTTTAGCCATGACGTAAGAGAACGGCTTATCTTAATACACTTTAAAGGGGCATGTTTTTCCAGCTAGTCAAATAGCATTGTGTTGAACATAATCTGGGTCATCAACATAGTATAATGCACTCATTGGTAGGCCTTTTTCATCTTCAATATAGGCATATTCAGAGAAGCGACGTTCATTCCTAATGTATTTGTATCATGGTTCAAATCGGTTAACTCGTGCGTTCTCGCAGACGTAAGGTGCACAGTAATCGCTAATCACTGGGGGCGGTAGCATATCAGTGTTTGTCAGTCTGTTTATATAGTTAGTTATAAAGTGATCAATTGGATTTTTCGACTCGGCTGTGATTCGTGACTTAGAGTGACTACCGGCGGTAGATCGCACATGCTGAGAATATCAGCGTATTACATGGTAATGCCGCGTCTGACTTAAGCACATCAATATCAAACTCACCCGTTATCACGAGTAGTCCATCTCAGTTAGCTGAGATATGAGCTAACATAGTTTCAAAACCTTCTAGCCAGGTTCTTTGCAGAATTCGTTTGAATCAATATGTCATGCCGAGTACCACTTTTCTGTTGTTATTGCGGCCAGGGATCACTTTATGTCTGGCTTTAGTTTCTCAATGTCCTGAAGACGCTTGAACTTGAGGATCAGACTACACGATCAAGGATGTTATGATATGATTTTAGATCTCTTGATGGATACATTGCCATGACTTGTTATTCTTATGCTGCATTAGATAGATAGTTGCTGTCTGTTGCAGATTTTCTCCCAGTTTTATGGCTGGATCATTGACCTTTGCGGGAGACCGTCAAATCGTAATAACTTACTTATTAGTCTATGCCAAAACAAAATAAGCCATGACTAGCAAAGTTAGAAAATTAGTAAGCTGATTATGACGCTTAGGAATCACGATTGGAGAACTTGGTTATTCGTTTTTATTTGTTTGTTGTTTGATTACTTTTTTGTTTTGTCGCGAATAAACCCTCCTTGCTTGAGGCTATTGAAATTGTCAGCTGATTAGAATTGTTCTGGTTTTCAGTTGATCAATTGAAACGTACGAGAAGAGAGGCTGGAAATGGATAGTGAATATGTGCCAGTATCCGAAGAATTTAAGAGCCGTGTCATTGGAAGGGATGGAAGCGTGTTGAATAGTATAAGAGAGAGATCGGGAGCAATAATTACATCCAGATATAGAGAAGAAGAAGGATTTACTGTCAGTGGAAATGACCAGCAGAGAGAAACTGCAAAAAGACTAATTTTAGAAAAAGTGGTGAGTTGATTTTTTACTCATAAACGATGCGGTAACAAAATTGAAATACCTTAAAAAATTCTGGATACCATACCGTTCGGTTCCAGATTAGTTTCTATAGCCTAAATACTTTCCTGATAAGATGTTCAAAAGGTAACTACAGTGTATGAATTCTTTAATGAACGGAGGTGATTGTGAACAAAATTACACTCGTTTTGTTGACTCGAATGTTATTGAGTGTCCACGAATGCTGTTTAGTTTAGATCTACTAACATGCGAGCAGCAAGTTACCGCCTTTTTCTTCACAGGAGGAAATAGAGCTAACCAAGTGGGAGGAAGTGGAGATTCCTACCGAATACAAAGGTTTGGTGATTGGAAAGCACGGAGCTAATCTGCTTGTAATAAGCAAAGAGACAGGAGCAAAAGTGACCCGTAAAAGAGGAGAGGTGCACATTACACAGGGAACAAAGCAACAAAGAGATCACGTGAAGTTGCTTATCAAACGCCAAGTGGTATGTGGTTTGGATAGATTTTATTCTCCTCAATCAATAAGTTTAAGTCGTTTTTTACCTCGGTAACTTTTTTTTGCGCCCTAAGAAGTGAAGGCAGCCTTTCAATCCTCTCACCATCATAACTGAGCCACTCAACTCTTCAAATAAAGTGCAATCAGCTACGCAGGGTAAAGTATTATCAACTCTGTCTTTTTCTTTTTTTAAGCTTAAACCAATTTTGTTTGTTACGACAATATCGTTACTATTTTTCTCTCTATACTATTACCAGAGATGCAATTGTGTTATTTGTACGTGTTCCAGATATCGTTTGCACATGCTTAAGCTCAAAAGCATGCTAAATGTGGTTCCTATTATTCGACATCATCATACTCGATGACGTTTAAACTCGGAAGATATTAATTGTTGCATGTGCTCCAAAAAATGACAGGCTTTACTCAATAGCAACTTGCAAATTAGCTCTTGACAATCTATTATGGTGTGTCATTGTAAGAAGAAAGGAAAGTGAATATTTCAGAGAGCTTCATCTTTTGCAAGTCAGGGTGAAGACATATACATACATTGCTTTTAAAGCAGGTTTTATACAGAGATCTCAGTACACATTTCATTATGTGCCTTCTTTCTGGGATTATTCGGCTTTCGAACAAAGTCACTTTATTTCCTCTCTCTGAGTGGCCGAGAGGATTTTCCTCATGGTCTAACACTACGTGTACGTTATTTTCTTTTCTTGTATCTTTACATCTACTACGTATATCTCTGTTGGCAGATAACTGCAGGTGCAAAAAATAAATAGTATAACATTTGATAACCACCTCCAGTTGTCTTTCCTTTGGTTGAAAAACATTAAAAACTAACCAAGGAACTCATCAATTTCAGGCTTTAGCACGACTCAGGGGCCTAGAAAACAAAAGCTATACAGTCTGCTGTTTCATTGACGATTGGAATATTACCGAGAACTGTAAACTGAAGCTGGAGCGAGTTTCAGAAAAAGATTGTTTGGTGGTCCCCAGCTCGCAGGCGCAGTTTCGACTACAATCTTCAAGAGAATCCAACCTACAGGTTTGCAATTTCATATAACAATTTAAGGTCTAAACAAAATGTCAAATGGGTACAAATTATTATTGTACGATTTAAATGGAACGAAATTGTGTTGTGGTAACTCATCGCTTTTTCATTTTGAGGTTTTAATTATCGTATGCTTCTTTGCACTATGAAAGTTGAACTGGGATAACGAAGAACGTCCTCGGCAAATCGAATTGCAAGTATTGTATTTTGAGTTTTCTTATCCTCTAACGAATCTTGATTCATTTCATAGTGGACCGAACCATAGCCAGTAACGTTATTGGCGGCATCTTTATGTAAATTATCCGTAGGTACTATGGCAACACCTCATCGTGCATGTCTGAATGAAAAACAATATGCCAGGTTTGTTATGCACTTTGTCTTTGTCAAAGGTCAGTGATATCCAGTGAAATAGTTAGATGATGTTTAACTTCTTCATGTATCTTCCTTTGAATAGGAATGTGTGAGTGACTCAGGCTATTTATCAAAACTTCATGACGCCACGTTGGAATCACTGCGAAAACTGAAAGCTAACATGGATTCAAGCAACCAGTTAGAAGCTGACATGTGGTGTCATTTTGGATTAGCCACTATTAGTGGGCCTAGTGAAGGTAACACCTAACACCTGGTAGCACAGGTCAAAAGGAACTTTCACTACAAAATACGAATGATATGTATAAATGACCTTGCAGTCATCATCTTGCGGTACGATAAATCAGTTAACCCCTCAGGCACGTTATAATTAAATGAATCAACTGACGTTTTGCCTTCATTGGTGCACCATTACCAAGGCGACTAAGAAAAGATTTTGATGTTATTATGGGTTAAACAAATTCACATATCAATAACAATTACTTTCCGTGGATGTGAAAAGTTTTATGAATACCTTGCGCCAGTATGGAGCTAACATTCAAGGAACGTTGTTATCATTATCATGTAAATTTTTTTAAATTTCATTATAACATCAACCTTTTTTGCTTAGTGACCTTGACCGCGATGTCACGACGATAATTTACATCGATTAGCCTAATCGACATTTAAGTATCGTCGTGAAACTGGGTTTCTTCAATTTGTACCTGCTTATGCGTTTTAAAACCCTTAATTCCTCCTTACTTTAATTCAACTTAACAGAAAATGTTAGCTTCCTACTACAGTAGTGATTATCAAATCTAGAGATTTTACCTGGGTAATGAGCTTCATGGTTTAAAACTTATGCTTAAAGGAGCTTTGTTATCCCTTACAGAGGACATTGGGAAAGAAGAATGGAGCATAGATGATGCAGCAGCAAAGTTTCAGTCGTCAAGGGAAGGAAATTATTGGAAGGTTACTTTTCAAGAAGGCGTGAATTTCATTGAGGATATTTTCAGAGGATATTACTATGACGATACACCAAAAGAATACCTCGACTACGCCGCAAGATATGACTTAACATTCTTCACTCCATGCAGTCGTCAAGTGAGATGTAAGGTGAGTCGGTTTAAGGAAGCGATTAAAGTGACTGGGGCCTGTTTTTCGTAGTTCCTGGTAACTTAACGGGCCTGAAGCCCGAAATAAAAATTTAAAGAATAATGAGGCAAGTTCTGGCTCCATTTCATGATTTTTTTCTTTAGCTGACAGTTTTTATTTCATTATTTTTAAAACTTTTGAAACCACTCTCTTGAATGAAAACAGAACAGCTTTATGGGCCCGTTAAGTTACCGACCTTTCAAGTAAAGGGCCCCTGGCCCGCTTTGCAAGACTTGCTTGGTTTACCTGACAAGATATCAATTATTCCAGTCGAACTCGCACAAATTGGCAATATCGCCACAGAACATCCGGTAGAGACTGTATCAGAAATTCATATTTCGCTTCAATATGTATAACTATAACTGCAAAGCGAGCAGTATACAAATTAACTTTACTTACGCCAAGATTTTTCTGTCTTTAACTGTATGTTTTGGGGAGTGTCATTGTCGTTGGTAATTAACTTTAGAGAATTTGAAGACTGGGTGTATATTGACGGTTATAGAGCGTACCTATGGTGAGCTACACTTTAAGGCAAGATGGATGTATTTAAAAACGCCATAATTACGTGGATCTTTTACCACTTTTCAGTATATTGGCGTTCCCTGTAAATTTGAAACAGAGGATAATGTTAAACTCTGAAACGGCCGCCCAAAATACAACAGTGGATATCAGATTTGAAAGCCTCTGCCCGATAAAATATCTTACAACATTCGCTACGGTTATGTCACATCAATAATTTCAGTGCCTCTCCAAGTAATGTTGTCGAGGCAGAAAATTTTTGTAACTTTAGGAGGCTTTGGATCAGGTATTTCTGAAATTCCATTTTCCAACATTTTGCACATGAAGAATATATTATTTTGAGTAATTTAAACATGTTATTCTTGGTTAAGGTCAGGTCCATGTTGACTTGGAGATTAGCACCCTCTTTAAATCTCACAATTTGCATTTATTTTTACATCGTAAACCACGTTGTTTTGAATATGAATAACAACAACAACAACAGCAACAACAAAAACAACATCAGCAACTCGTTCCGAAGGGCGTGCCAAGAAGGATTCGATTAAAGCTTGAGTTATATAACTTAGCAAACAATTTTTGAATGTCTGGTTTTAAGGTCTGGGTGGCTAGAAAGAATGTCAAGAAAAAATTGGAAGGCATTCCATTACCACTTAGTGACGTCAAAAACATTCTGAAAGAAATTTGCTTCACCGATGAAACCACTCGGTCACGAAGTCGAGGCTGGATAGTTCTTCCCTCGCGAAGATATTTACAAGGAGATATTTTATTTCCCGGGTGCGAGTTTGATTGCAGACTCACCATACGTGAACGAACAGGTAAGTTCTGTGGAAATACTCTAAATGCATAGATGGAATGTCTCTCACGAAATGAAAAATTCAGGTACTAGGGTCTACAAATTTTTATGCCATAAAAGGGTAAGGAATTATTTTCTTCTACAATTCCCAAGAGCCTCTTCGGTTTCTTCATTAAGTTTAGGAATGCTGGCTGCCCTAAAGGGCGTAATTGGTTCGCATTGAGCTGAGGAGGAGAAGCCAATTGGAAAATATAAGGCTAGAAATAAAATCGGAGAAGAACCGCTCTATTTCAGCATTTTAATCTGATTGATGTTCTTGACTTCAACGACTAAGCAAGAATTTATGTCTAGGGTCAATAAGCCAAGAGGTTTTTTCGCCTTGTTAAAATCAACGGGCTTGCAGAAAATTACTCTATATTGAATATCAACCCAACAGCAGCTCGATCCGGAATTATCCTCGTCGCTTGATTCTGATGGTTAAAGCGAGCAAGAAAATGTGTTTTAGAGAAATGAAAATTAATCATTAAATTGTAGAATCTTATCCGATAGTCATAAAAGCTATCACACAATCAGTTTTTGTTGTTAAGTGTTGTTAACGTTTCTGGTTTTTGTCTGTGTATTTGTGTTAAACAGGGAATGCCACAGATCTAGACCATGTACCCAAAGAAGATGTTATACGCGTGTTGGCAGATTATCTTTCTGAGATGACTTTGAAGGAAGACGACTCTTTTGGACTAAAACTCCCGGAGAAGAAGATCCCAGAAGGATATCATTTGAGCCACAAGCGGTTTTCCAAACGAATCGTGTACAAGTCCAAACCAGGTTTCAGTATAATTCTATCGAGGGAACTATCGTGGCGCCTTGTGGTGACTGATGAAAGATCCAGAGAATCGGTATTGACTACTAAATAAGGACAAACTGAGTCCTCCTTGCTTAATGAAAGCAAGGAGGTTTCTTTAACATTATCCAAGAGGCAGCAGGTTATATGATAAATCCTTTCTATTTTCATTCTTTTCTGTAGACTGATCTACACCTACATTGTGACGAGTGGGACAGGCTACTCAGGAGTGGGCAGTGGGAAGCGGAGATGATTGTCAGAAAGTTACCCGATTTTCTTGAATTTGTCAAAGAAGTTCAAGGCTTTGTTGTCGGAAAGATAATGAGAAGTGGGCTGGAAAGGATAGGTAAATGGAAAATTTGACTTTTTTTAAGGTTATTCTTTAATTATGCGTTACGCATTTTCAGTAAAAAAATATTGAATTATCGTCGCTGGACTTTCGTAACAATAAGGTAAAGAAAAAGGTTGAAAGAAATAAAAAAGCTACTATTCTTTTGCCACGAGCGTAAGATGGAGAAAACATTTGAGTTCAGTACGAGGATTTGGACACCAGACCAGATTTCGCTGTCTAGTATTACCTTTAGCTGACTTGGTTAACTCCTGCGAATTGGTCGTTTGTTAATTGGTTCTTTGCAGTTTTAGTGAAGCCAAAGATAATGGTCCGCAATATCTTAAACTCAAATATACTTTTCCTTTGACAAAAATGACATATTTCTGTGGTGTACTTGCGTGATGTTGCTGTGGTAACAAATTAATGTAGGATTGTATTGGTAGACCACAGGCAGCCCAAGCTCACGTCTCGAGTAAAAGCAAACGATAAATTTATGAAAGCGTCACGCGTTGTGACTCGGTATTGAATTGCGAGAAACTACAACGGATACACAGGATGTGAGTAACTTTTATCGATTTAACGTGTAGAATGTTCATATTTCAAAATATTTATTGATGTAAATGTAATTTCGTTCCCCATACTATTCCTCATAACGTGTTCAAATTTTTAACGGTTCCTCTCGTACCATAACACCGAGTCACACAACGCGTGACGCTTTCATGAATTAATCATTGAATTTTTCTCGAGACGTGAGCTTGGGTCGCCTGTAGTCTTGGGGCGCCTTAGCTCACTTTGTGTGTCTTGTGCCAAAAGGCACACAAAGTAAGCTAAGACAACTATCACGGTGACTTTAGTTTTGTAACACCAACAAGACAAAAACATTAGGCCATTATATTAGCAGCCATCAATGTACTGCTTTTTCAGCTAAATCGCGAACCCGAATTTGTCAGTCTTTTGAAAAAGCTTGCAATATCCTTGCTACTATCATAAGTATGTTTTTTCTTAACTACCCTACAAACATGCAGTTCCTCCAGAGATTCTTGCAAGAGGACCTCTCGCTCTACAGGCCTATTACAACGCCCTGCATGAAGGAAAAATCTGTGACAGGAGGGTACCGCTGATGTTGGTTGGACAAGACCGATCCGGAAAGACTAGCTTGAAGAAATCGTTGAAGGGCATATGCTTCAACCCAGAGGAGGAGAGCACTGTGGGCATCGATCTCGATCCTAACCCTTTTGAAGTGACCACGGAAATGTGGATGACAGGAAAAAAGAATGAAGAAGGAGAAGTTGATGAAGAAGCTATTTCGTTTGAGCAAAATGCTGCACGTTTGGCTGCTGACACATTAAGGACGACAGAAACCGTCAATCAGATTAGTAGAAGACACAATCCTGGCGAGGGAGAGGACTATGATATTGATGAGACCGATGATCTATTGGAGGCAACCTCCACTGACTCATCGAGTGGCCTTCGAATTGAGAAAACTGAGGATCAGTTATCCACCGAAAGCAGCTTTAATGAAAATCGTTCGCCAGTGAGACAAGTTCCTGGTCTAAAGAAATTGGAACCCGAAGATAATTTACCCAACCCCACAACAGATCAAGCATCAGATTTTGAAAAAATTGCTGCAAGGATTGAAAGTTTACTTAAAGAAAGAAAGAAGAGAAAAGAGGATGAGGCTGACGATGTCTACTCAATTCTGTGGGATTTCGCTGGAGAATCCGTTTACTATGTAACACATCCCCTTTTCCTTACAGCAAGAGCAATCTACTTTCTTGTTTATAACCTCAACTTGAACCCAAACGCAAAGGCCAAAAGGCTAGTGGAGCAGGAAGTATCTGATGAGTCCCAAGATAGTTTTAACCTAAAAACTAACTTGGATTACCTAGATTTCTGGATGAATTCGTTAGCTTCCCTAGCAACATATCCCGAAGGCAAGGATATGGATGCTGAATCCGAGGTAATTCCCAAACGACTGCCAATGGTTTTTCTGGTCTGCACTCACGCTGACAAACCTTACGAGGGCAGAGATGCACGCAAACTCGCAGCTCAAGTGTATCGATCTTTGAAGGAGAGACCTTACGGTGCCCATTTGTATGGTTTGTATTGTGTTGATAATACAAAGTCCGGTTGTGAGTCTGAGTGTCAAGAAGTCGGCCGCCTGCGAAAGGATGTTCTCGCTGTTGCTAAGAAATTGCCCCATATCAAAGAGGTGATTCCAGTTAAATGGTTAAAGTACGAAAAAACCCTCCAATGCTGGAAAAAGGGCGGGTATAATTTTATTTCGCTCGAAACAGCCAAAAGGATAGCAAACCAGGAATGCGACATCAGTACTGAAAACGATTTCAAGACGCTGCTAAACTTTCTGCATGATCTAAGAATCTTGATCCATTTTGATGACACAGCTGAACTAAATGATCTAGTAGTCCTAGATTCTCAGTGGTTGATTGACGTGTTTAAAAGGGTAATAACCGTAAAACCCTACGATTGGGAAAAGGAGCCCTTTTTTGGATTATGGGACAAGCTTGAAAAAAAAGGAATCTTGGAGGAAAAGCTTTTGGAACATGTTTGGGAACCTCAGCTGATCGGCAGCAGAGAAAATTCTGAAAAATTAATTGCATTAATGGAGAGATTTAGCTTATTGTGTTCATGGCCTTCACGTGGTGTCCCAGGTAACAGGCAGTTCCTCGTACCCTCCATGCTAAAGTCACAAGCACCAGAGGGTGTCATGAAATTGGTTTCCTCCGCGCAAATACCTTCTCTCGTTGTAAAATTTGAATCTGGTCAAGTCCCTGCTGGCCTGTTTCCCAGATTAGTCTTACAATTCTTTCAATGGGGAAAAGAGAGTTTTTGGAGCTCAAAGCGCCTAAAGTTGTTTCACGGCTTTTCCAGGTTTTACACGTCTCAAGATGCCGGGTGCTCAGTAATTCTTCTATGTCACTCGTCTTACATCGAGGTTGTCTACCATCAGGGTAACGCAAATGATGAGTCGGTAAATGCTTTGCAGTCACCCCTCTCCCAGAATTCAATGAACAAGTTGTACAATGAAAATGATTTAAGCTGTGTCCGGGTTGTCTGTAGACAGTTGGGCTTGATTCTGGAGTGCATGCGTAATCAGTTCCGCTGGCTGAACAGTATGAGATACAAGATGGGTATCATCTGCCCAATCTGCCGTGAACAAAGTGCCGTCGAGTACTGTGAAAGGCATCAAAGTCTAAATTGCAAGCAAGAGGAATGCCTCCACTTTTGGTCCGAGTCTGAACTGTGCGCATCCAAGGGAGATGCATTTTGTATGGAATCTGTTTCGGCGCTAAATAACAGATTTAACCCTGAGCGCTGGGCTCCTTGGTTTTCATCTCAGGATAACTGGGTAATTATCATTACAAGCTGCATCTGAAAAAAGTATTGCCTCTATTGCAGATAAAATAATTCGAGTAAAGCAATTCTTTGACAATGGCTTACACATCTGATTAAGAAATTTGAAAGGCTGTTTACTGGGGCGAATGTAATTGAATTTCAAAGAAAATTAACGGAAAATATCATACAACAAACAATTTATTTTTCAGACTTTATATCAGCTAGTAATCAAAGCGAATGTAGTTATAACAATTACTATCCCGTGATTTTTTGGCAGTTTTTTAACTCTTCTGATATAATCGTAATAATGGTAATATGCGAAAAAGTTTTAACCACTTCCTATTTACGCATCGTAGGTGGGACGTAGTAATCACTGTGATGAACTTTTGTTCCTGGAGAAAGGTGAGGTTCTTACTTAGGTACGCAGAAGTTTTTGCACGATAGTCGCCAGTATTAGGCGTGCTCTGCTTTTTTTCTCGTCAATTTTCTCTTGTATCTTCCTTTATTACTTTGATCATCATTAGGTTAACTGTTGAAGTATAGGTGATAGGTTCCTCTAAAACACCAAACTTGCGTGAAACAATACGGAAAAGGTCGATTTACCTGACATGTCCGCCTACGCAGATTTCACTTTATCCAGCTCTGTTGGTAGTCATTTCGCCCACACTCGCTTAGTTTTCAAAGAACCATCTGTTACGGAATGCTGGCTACCTGGTAAAAAGCTATAAGGTGTAGCAATGTTAATATATGAATAAATTATATGCTTTGTTAGGGAAAGGTGCTACGACTCTCTGTCCCTTGTGAGATTGTAGACACCCTTTTGGCACAGTCGAATGATTGCAAAGATTTTGTACGACAATTAGAAGACAAATTAAATCTGAATGACGCCGTCTTGCGAGACCCTGATCCTAATACCAGGGTACTGATTCGTACCCTGGCGAGAAAGGCTAACAATGCAAGCCGAAGTGATCTAGTTGAAGAGCTGAGAAAAATTGTACCGGCGGGAACTACAGGTAAGTTTTAATATGGAAACTCAAATGTACATTACTTTAATGACCGCCACACTCAGCCGTCGAGTATGTTCGTGGAATAATAACGTGCTGTGCTTTTTGAAGTATACTTTTTGATTGCAAGATTATGTCATCATAACATCTGTCAAATACTCAGCACTCCAAGGCTCGCCAGATTATGAAAACGTTAGGAACATAACTCGTCTCGTTGATTCTCGAAATGGCACTCGCACTCTTTTGTTGGCTTATGCCGAAAATATATCCCATATTGAAAGTTCTACAATCCTAAATGCTTTTCCTGCAAATCGTTTTCATGATAATTTATTTTCCATTCATTGGCTTAATTGTCGTTTTCTCCAGTGGTAAATTATAGTGTCCTCCCTGATAATTACTAACCGTTTTTCTCACAGAATTTCTCCGGGCGGGTGAACTAAAACTCTTTTTAAAATTTGATTAAAATCATTTAAGCTCTAACCGAAAGTTCCGAAACGTTTTGGGTTGTTAGCTGGAGTGCCTAAACATTCTATCATTTTTGAAAATACATATAAAATTTTCTTATTTCTAGCTCCAATGTTACCGGAAAGCCTTCTTGTTCGAGGAATCCCTTTCAGTCAACTAAAAAAGCTCACTATCACCTTAAGCGGTAAGAAGACAAAACAAAGTATTGAGTTTTTCTTCATTACAATGTTTCATATAAGCGTATTCATGTTTTTCTTTCTCGCCTCCTTCCCTCCTTTCCTTCCGATCTTCTTTCCTCCATCACTTACTCTCTCACCTGTCCTTGTATTCATTCTCACTTTCATTCTTTCAGCATAATAAACATAGAATAATCTTTATAGAACGTTGCACAAAAATTCACAAGGCAAAGTAATAATAAGTAGAGTACAAATTACGCGCGAATCGAGTACAAATATCCTGCGATATGGTACGGTTATTTAGACAGTTGGTTATTTTATACTGTCAAAAAGCCTGTTTAACCAGTCGGCTGCGCGCGTTACGCTTCACTATCCGCTTTGCTTTTCCCGCCTTATGAGAAATGAGCAGAAACACTTAGCAGAAAAATAATAAGTAGAGTACAAATAACGCACGAATCGAGTACAAATATCCTGCGATATGGTACGCTTATTTTATGCTGTAAAAAAGGCTGTTTCACCAGTCGGCTGCGCGCGCTACGCTTCTCTATCCGCTTTGCTTTTCCCGCCTTATGAGAAATTTGCAGAAACACTTAGCAGAAAAAAGGCAGCTGGAGAATTAATAACTTATTGGACATTTTGGTGTGGAGTATCGCTGAGTATTTTTACGAGTTGTGCCGTATTTAAATACTCTGCGATATTACACGCCAAAATTCCCCGTAATAAGATCTATATTTCCTGAACCATTCTGTTCCATCCTTGTTTATTCTATTAGTTCCTTTTGTTCTCTAATTAAGTTATCTTGAAAAAGGACCTTTATGTTTAACGTTGAAGGTGGAGATGAGTGGAAGATATTTGCCGAGCAACTGAGACTAACCCCAGAATACTCTGCGATATTACACGCCAAAATTCCCCGTAATAAGATCTATATTTCCTGAACCATTCTGTTCCATCCTTGTTTATTCTATTAGTTCCTTTTGTTCTCTAATTAAGTTATCTTGAAAAAGGACCTTTATGTTTAACGTTGAAGGTGGAGATGAGTGGAAGATATTTGCCGAGCAACTGAGACTAACCCCAGAAGAGATTCGTTTCCTTGACAATCGCACTTTGAATCCAGCTGATGCAGCTTTGGGTTACATTGCACAAAAATATCAGATAACAGTGGGTGATCTTTATCACCTTTTAACTGAATGTGGACTACCCGTCGTAGCCGATTTGCTTTGAAAGTAGTACTTCTTTTCCAAGTGGACTACAGTCAGTCAGTAACTGAAAAATGTACAATATAATCAGTTAGATGTTACTTTGCAAACAAATAATTTCTTTTTGAAGTACGCATTGTTCTTCTTTATGAACCTCTCGAGTCCTCTACGTGAATTTATTTTCACTCTCGTTCCTATTTACGCTACAGCAGAGACAAATTTTGGCTGAAATCTTTGAAAGGAAAAGCAGGACGGTTTCCAGAAATAATAGTCAACAGAAAAAACTTACCATTCTATTTTGCATATCACACCTTTACGTCCACTTGACTTTTGTTGGCCTCAGTAGGGCGTTTTGACACTTCCAAAGCTTTGACTTAAACGGGTCAAGGGGAGAATAGAAGGCTGCTAGTATTTTTGATAGCTTACTTGAATCTTCGTGGCTGAATCCCTCCTAAAAAGTATTGTATAAGAATTTGTCGTCGTTTCTTCTGCCGGGTTAACCAAACAAATATCCCACTTACTCTCTGAGTTCCAACACAAACGACATTCCTATGCTGTTCGTATGAAAACTGGGAGATGATCGTCAGTACTTTTTGAGATGCGGGAGTTGCCTCTTCAAGATGATCCCATTCAGTGTTAATTGTCTTTACTGACGGGGACATCCTCATGAATTTACAACATATTCCACTCTGCCGTGGAGAGCTTTACCTACACGAGCGTGGTAACTCGTACACCCGATTTTCCTCAAATTGCACTGAAGAGCATCAAACACTTTGTCGGGATTGTGGAGTCTTTGCCATTCCCAAAGAGCTTCTCCGTTGATTCGAAGATAGAATTGCGGTTTAAACTACTTGTCAACGGCCGAGACATATTTAAAAAAGTAGGGTTGACCGGGGATTGTATGAGCTCTGAAAAGAGCTCCCGATCAACACACTGCATTTCTTTAACGGTACACGTGGCAGAATTCTAAATTTTTGAGAAGATCTTGTTGTTTCTGTTTCTGTTGCAAACGAAGAGTGTTACGATTAACCTGCCGTGATAAACGTTACCAATGGGGTATCCGCGGGTTTCGCCCATAACGAGTTTCGCCCAAGAAGCGTTTCGCCCATAACGAGAATGGTTTCGCCCAGGCATAAATTCGATTCGCCCAACTTGACTAGTTTCTATCTCTTTTCCAATTATGTGTTGCCGTTACCTATGTCAGAAATACAATCTTTAACTCTCGATTCCTTTGTTTTAGTATTCACGAAACCGTATTCACATGTATTCATAAGCTGGCGTGCGGAACTTATCTTCCGTGTACAAAAGATTTGCAACGATGATATGTTCCACGCGCAAGTGTTTTCAAAAGCGTTTAATTTAATTCTCGAGAAGAAAAGTGATGCAAAAACATCATAGTAATGCTTTTACGACAAACGGACGTCTCTGCAGTATTTCGTGCGCGAATTACCTTAACAATCCCCGCTCCACAGTGAAAGCTATAATTGACTTGTTCGTTTCAACAGTAACTTGTTCGTTTCAAAATTTCATGATCTCAGGTCAAGTCACTTTTCTTCATTCTGTGCATACAAACGTTTATAAGGTTGACGTCTTCCGAGTGAGAGTGTAGAAGTTTTACTTATGGGCGAAACCTTTATTGTTCTGGGCGAAACCATTCTCGTTCTGGGCGAAACGATATGTGCGAAACTCGTTATGGGCGAAACCCGCTATAACCACCAATGGTTTCGTTTCCGAATAGTCCATTTTACAGTTGTGTACTTGGTTACCAAGCCTTTGAACAGGAGTGAGGCTAAGGGTGACCTTGTTATGATACAAACCTTGCTGCTTTTTTGAAATGCAAATTAATTTTTTATCATGCTAACTAGATTCTGGTCTCTAACACAACAAGGTCACCTTCAGCCTCACTCCAAATCAAAGGCTTGGCAACTAAGTACACAACTGTAAAATGGCCTATTCGCTCAATCCTAAAGCTTGGGAAGTCGATATCTCAATTTCAATGCTTGATTGCAGTGGCGTTCGCGCTATTGTTTGCGGAGGCGAAGTTTTGCATATGAATAAAGGGGTAAGTTTCTAAAGAAACTGTGGTGCTGCGTCGCTGGGAGAGTATAGCAGGTAATTTAGTATTAACAACTGGGTTGAAAACGTAAATTAGCCACCGTAAAGGGTAAAAAAGCTGACGTTTCGAGCGTTAGCCCTTCGTCAGAGCGATTGAATACCTGAAGTTTTGCATATGTTAGTACACTCGCGGGGTTTCAAAAAATCGTTCAACCGTGCTTCTCGACGTAAAATTCAGGGTGGCCAGAGGTTGCTTCAGAAGAATTCGGTAGAAAATAAACTTAAGAATAAATTTGTTTATTGAACCCTCTTCTACAAAATTCATATGCTGACAAATAGCTTCGGCAGCTAGTTGGTGAGTAAAACAGAAAAACTTAGGTGCAAGTGAGCGTTTTATAGCCATTTTCCTCATTGTTTCCCTCTCTTTTCTCGGAAGACCATTCAAATTTACCGCCAGCGGACTTAAAAAGTACCCGCATGTGTCGCGGAATTCTGCGCGATGGCATAATCTCAGTACGCTTTACAGACAAAGAAAATGAAAGAAGTATGCCGGGCCCTCGACAGTTTCGTCTTAACCATTTCCTGTGATATGATTAGTCTAGACAAGACCAAAACAGACTGATGTAGCCGAGAGAGGATTTGGACGATACTTTTCATTGCTTGCTTCTTGTGGCGGCCATGTTGAAATGCGAAGGGGAAGGTAGAATAGAATTCAAAATTTCGAGAAAGACATATTTACTTCAATATCACTCGTAATTTCCACATGAATGTTAAAGAAAATGTCGCGTATTAGAAGTAATTCTGCAAGACTTTCAGCGAAAACACTTCAACCAGCTTCAGCCGCTGGTTGTCTGTTTGTTCGATGTGAAGGGCGCCCTCTAGCTTTTTTCCAGACAAGGGCAGTCTTAGTCACGATGAGATGTCCACAAAAAAAGATCGTTTAGGTCGAAATAATTTTTTGTTGATCCTAGTTTTCCCAGACTCGATAAAGTGTTCGTTTGCATGCCAAGCAGACCCATTTCAAATTGAATAAAATTATCATTTTTGAACAAGCTTTTGTCAGACCTTCTTACTCGACAGTCCTTTATCAAAAAATTTATAGACTGTTCTCAAGAAGGAGATGCGATTATCCATAAGCTGAAACGAAAAACAAAACGACCTTTAGGAACAGTGAGAAAATCGATAGCTGGCAGAAGCCATAACACCATAACGGCCTAAGACAACAAGTCACAACAACAACGGCCGTGCACTCGGACTAACTACATTGAGGTTTACCGGAATATTTTTTCTTTTCAGAAAAAATCGTACATACCTCAAATTTACGTGATAGTGATAACATTTGTGTCCTCAATCGTTCTAAATAAGTCATCGCAGATAGACTTTACATTGAGATTTCTCTTCACACATTTCAACCGACGCTATTCAAACTGCTTTTCCTTTGCTATATCAAGTAAACTGGGTCCTAAGGGCCATACACATCAAAGACAAAAATGCGGGACTAAAATGTCGGGTTCGCCTTGGTTTTAAAAAAAATTAGACCGTCCAATTTTTTTAAAACTAAGGCTAACGTGACGCAATGTTTCATGACGTCATGGTATAGAGAAAACTATCGATGGCCCGGACTACATTTTAGAATTAAGTTTACTTGAATAAATTGATGATTAAATAACAATGTTTTGAGCTTTCTTTTATGTTTAAACCAACTTTACACTTTTTAAATGTTTAATTTTAAATTAAAGTTGCTCAAAAACCTTTTCAGTCTATGGGGCATATTTTTGCCAAACCTGAGGATCCTGTCACGGAAGAACAACGAACCTACGCTATTTATTCTATTCCGTGCAATGACTGTGATCACGAGTATATCGGACCAAACATGTGACAGACCAAATGTCAGTTTGGTGCACGTTTGAAAGAGCATCAACAAGTAGTCTTCTTTTGCAAAAAAGAAAATTCAGCTTTGTTGGAGCAAACATGCCTAACCAACCATACAATTGGATGGGATAAGTCTAAAATTATCACCACTAATCGACGTTACCACCAGCGCCTTTGGTTGGAAGCCTGGCATGTCAACTCCGCCCACGCTCCTTTAATAGTAGTGATGGCGGCTTACTTCCCGACGCCCATGTACACCTCGTCAGAAAAAAAACAGCTAATTAGTAAGCGTATAAAAGGACCTCTTCTTGCAGCGTTTGGATCACCCTTGATAAAGGTTCTAGACAGGAGTGTCGAAACGTTGGGTCTATGAATTTTAACTTCTCGGTTACATTCATTAAATCTTGAAACCAGAGAAGCATCAAACCATGTCCGATTGTCCACCTGGTTGCCATGTGAACTTTAATATATCACACTATTTACTTGTTTGGTTTATACTGAATAATATTATATCTGCAGGGTTACTTTCACGACGAACATAGATACCCTGCCGTACATTCCCTCTAATAAGCCACTTCTCCGTTTAAATCACCTACCTCTGTTGCCGAGATTGCTCACAAGGTATCTGTATACCCAAAATAAGTCAATGCTTAAACGGTACTTGATATCGATATTTTATGTCAAAAGTAGTGTATAGATATAATCACTTTCGTGTTTGGAAAGTTTTTAACCTTCAGTGCTGAAATTCGACAAGAAGGATCCCCTACGACAAGGCTTGAAAACAGTGACGACAAATTTCTCTTTTAGATCTTTCACAAATTATGCCTTCCATCCAAGGAAAAGTTTTGTGCCACCTATTCTCGAAGATTAAAAACTATTTAAGAGCAAATCATTGTGATATTCTCTTGCGACTTCACTGGTAGAATTGAGATCGTGGATCTTTGTACCTCGAGAATATGAACACCATACTGCAAGAAAGATAAACTTCTTTTTCGAAATTACGTGTAATCCCTTATTTATGAATTTTCAGGAAATATACTTTTCTTGGGTTTCATCATTACTTACCCTTGAGATAGGTTTGACTGTTTCTCTTTTAGTTACATGTTTTTCTTCTGGTCAACTGCTTAGAAATAAACAATCAAAAACCACATCCATGAAATGGCATTTTGTTTGTTCCTGACTTCTCCCTTTCGACAATGTACAACCGCTCTTCTCTACAACTGTTAATATTTTGAACTTGTTATGCGTTTTTTTTTTTTATTATACTAAATGATTTTAGTGATTGTTTCAAACTTAAAAAGTTTCTCCTTTATGCCAAAAAAGACAAAAAATCCCTGAAAGTTCAAACTAACTCAAATTGTAGGTAAGTCGATTCATCAGTCCGTGTCTCACACCCAATCCATAGTCCGTAGTCCGTAGTCCGTAGTCCATACTCCTTGGTTAATATTTTACAACTGTCTTGTTTACTTGTGAATCTGACTAATGAGTCAATTGGGAGAAAATGAAGAGGATCACTTTAGAAGCTTCATGTACTATTTCATAGTACATAAAGCCTCCAAACTGAAGATGAGCTAAGATTACTATCAGTATGGAGTGAGAGACAGTAGTTGACATATGTGCTCCTCGGTCCCCCATTACTTTCCAATTACTTTCCAATCATCTTTTCTTTCGGCGGGTCGTCCTCTCACAGTCACCCCACTCCCCCTCGACAGTTCGTAGAAAGGATAGCCCTTTATTCATGTGAAGCCCATGAAATTGGACACGACATTAGCTATGTCTGCTGAAGAGAAGGTAAATATCGCCAGGATAATTTCATGATAATTAAATTAATTTTTAAAATTGCCCATCCGATCCGCTGCAGTCCAAATTTGCGAGGTAAACTAGTTATGCCGATGCCTTAAGCTTGTAAATTAGTATGTAAAAACCGTGTAATAGTGTGGCTACATGACCGACGGCTGGTCAAGGTTTTCAAATAACTAAATGACTGGCAGTCGGGTATTTTTCAATATTCCATACTTAACGAAGAGAGAACCTGTACAATCCAAACAACCACTTTTTGTTTAGGAACTGCTAAGCGATCCCGAATTGATTTATAGATGTCATATCTCATGCTCGATTTAAGTTGGGCTCAGAATACGGAGCTATCGTCTTTGACACTTAGAAATGCGGCATGATAACGGCGAAATTGGTAATTTCGTTCGCCTGTACATAAGAGCATTTCTTGAAGCCACTAAGTTTGGCGTATGGTATATATTAATACTAGCATATATTAATAGTGATTATAATACAGCCAGTAACGCAATGACTTAATGGCCGGTACCATCATGACTTAACGGTTACATTTTCGTCGGTATTAAGGGAAATTCTAAGATAGCTACCAACGCAATGACTTTTCCAGCCACATATGCGTCAGTTTACAAGGAAATTCCAAGATAGCCTCTAACGCAATAACTTAACGGCTTAACGGCTATATAATTACGCCGGTATACAAGGAAATTCTAAGATAGCAAGTAACGCAATGACTTAACACCTACCTTTACGTCGGTATGTAGGAAAATTCTGAGATACATGTTGCCAGTAACGAAATGACTTGACGGCTTCACTTGCGTCGGTGTAAAGGGAAATTCAAAGATAGCCAGTAACACAATGACGGCTACATTTGCGCGGTATAGATGGCCAGTAACGCAATTCCCTTTTAGCACTCCCATGGTTTTTCATTTTCCAAGACACGGATACGAGTCTTCATTGCGCCCGTTTCAGATTTGTAAAAAATGTTTATCGAGATCCAGACAGACGTAGATTATGCTTCGAATTAAAAAATTTCGTTTAGTTGATTCTAAAGTTTGCAAGACCGAACACCTAGCTATTGTCTTTTTGTACTTTGTTTGTTTGTTTGTCAATAGTGTTCCTGTTTGGGTTTGTCTCACAGCCATGGTCTGGACCAACAACAGAGTTCCTGAGTAGGTTTTTGTTTTCAATGATTGGCTTCTATTTTGTTTAAATCATTAAGTGCTTTATTGTTCATTTCTATTGTTCTTGTAAAATTATTTGGGTTAGCAAGTTTACCAAGAGTTGTAACTGCCCAAGACCAACTGGCCCATAACCCAAACATGTTCACCAATAGATTACTTAGGAGGTGTGTTGGAGTGATTAAGTGTAGTATTAGTAGTTGAGGTAGTGGTAGCAGAAAGTTGTCAATATGCTGGAGAAGAACAATTAAAGGAGAAGTCAAAAGTAGAGTCTTGGTGCCTCTTGCTGAGAAAGTCCCCTTAGTGCCCCTCTACAATATTAAATACAAGGTACTACTTCTGTTTGAAGGCATGGCCCAATCTGGCCCTCTTGCTGTTTCATAGCTCACCTCATCAGATTCCACAATCTCTACTGTGTTTTCCTCTTTCTCCTCTCACTCTTTATCAGAGCCAAAGCCATTGCCTTTCTCCTTGTTTTTCACTTATCTGACACTGGCTGTCATGACTTCCGTCATTAGATTCCACAATCTCTATTGAGTCTTTTCCTTGAAAACAACTCCCTCAAGTTTGAGGGTGATGCCCAAAAAGGGTATCGCAATAATATGCCACTTTCTGCTCTTCAAATCCACATAAAGAAATGTCCAGTGGTAACCAGTTTGATTTGGAGAGCTGATGTACACTCTGCTGGAATTTACCCCAGCAAATACCAAATTAACCTTGTCAAAACACAACAATTTTCTGAGTCATCCATTACACAAATCTGCAACAGGCAATTTATGGCTCACAGTTATTGCTAAAAAAGATTGTAAAAACTAACTTACCTGACAGAGTATTTCTTCTCTATATTTATCCAAGAAATAACAGCAAATAAAATCAACAGCTTGAGCACAAAGCAAGAATTGATGGTAATTAAGTCAGTGACCATAGAAAGTCTCATGTGGTGCAAAATTTTTTTTTACAAGTGTGCCTCACCCTTGAGTTTCAACCTCTAATGTGTCATGAACTCCAAATTGTGGTCTTGCTCCTATTCCTCAGGGTCTCAGTGTATTCAATCTCCTCCAGATGGCTTAGCAGTTCCTCATTAACACATAAAATTTTGGATTTTAAAGATTCTTTTGATTTGAAAAATTTAGAAAAATATCTGATTGCTGGTCATTTAGTGATTTGAGAACTGTGACTGGCAGTTGTCATCAAACAATTTCTTGGTGTCGACATCCATGACTCCATCTTCTCAGCCCAGCGTAAACTAAGCATTAGATATGAGACTCACAAATCTCCTTGAGATCACTAAATAGTTCTCCATCAACGTGTAATAGTTTGGATTCTGCAGAGTTGTGAAAGTTTAAGATCAGACTGCTGATCATTTATGTAATTTGAGAACAGTGACTGGCAGTCTACCTACTGCAAAATTTGTGGATGTCAACATCCATGGCTCCATATTGTGAGACTAGCGTTAGACACGAGATTTATAAATCTCCTCAAGATTGCTTCATAGTTCCTTCCTTAATAGTTTGGATTGTAAAAGTTCTCTGGATTATTTTATTAAGTTTTTTAGATCCAACTACCAATCATTTAGTTATTTGAGAATCAACCTTATGCAAAATTTAATTTCTAAGTGTCAACAATGATATAAACTGAAACAACTATTCACCTCAGTGTTACACGGCTTGGTAAGTATCCACAGTATCCATATACCTAAAATGACCTAAATTGACCTAACATTAGGGTATTCTAAGGTTTTTGTTTTGGATTTTAGGTCATGTCTTGTTTTTAGTAACTACAACCACTAGCCACCTCCACTTCAGTAAACAGTTATTTTTCATTACTTAAATGTGCAAAAAATTTGTGGCAGCTAGAGGGAGAGTTAACATATGGATCTTTGGAGTTAAGCATCAGCTGTATAGTATTTCGGTAATTGCAGGTGTAGATACACAGTATTTGTTGTAATATATCTGTCTTTTAAGTTTGGTATTTTAGAGAAATTAAATGCTGGGGAAGTGCTTGTTGGAGATGGTGGAATGACACATGCTTTAGAGAAGCGTGGATATGTGAAAGCAGGGCCTTATACTCCAGAGTGTACAGTGGAATATCCAGAGGCAGGTTGTAGTCTTCTTTTGTTGCACCTGTTGCTATGGGGCCTAATTACAACCTCACTTTTGTGAACACCTGTAATTGAGAATATTTGAATTCATATTTAAGTGGGTGCTTGATTTTTCAAACATATTAATGGAGTAGTTTCTTTGTAATAGCAAAGTTATCCTAGAGATCACCAGCTTCCAATCTATTGACCTTCACCTATATACGCTGTATATCTAAATAGATTTTATTTCATATCATGTCATATGTAATTTCTTTTCCGTTCTTGCTATACAGTGCTTAGAAAGGTAAGGTTGTTCAACTTGTTCCCTAGCATGTGATTTAGTTGTGTAAGAGCAATCACACCATCACAGTGCTCAGCTTATGGATTTAGAACCCTTTTGAATTAAATTTTTTTATTTATGCCAAAAGTGAGAGGATATTTCAGGCTAATTTTGATTTTTTGGTTTTGTGGTCATCCTACAAAGTGGAAAAAAAAGGGTTGCAAAGAAACAAAAGATTGTAAGGGTGGTTGTTTCTGAATTTAGTTAGATTCATGAATGAATAAAAACTTGCCCTAAAAAAGTATTGCAAGAGGTAAATGGAATTGATTGTCAACAGTTAGACAACTTCATCGGGAGTTTGTGCGAGCAGGAGCTGATGTTATTCAGGCCTTTACCTTCTCAATGGATGATGATATGGGCAGCTCTGAAGCTAAACATGGGGTTCGTAGATTGTTATTAAATATTTATCAATTTGCATTCATATGAATATATGAAGCCCTTTCTTGAAACAGTTGGTTTTAAGAGGTCAATAATATTTTTTTTTTTGTCAGATTTTCCTGTTACAGTTTGGTTGTTGTTAAAATGAAATGTCAAAACATGTTAAAATCCCTAAAATTATATCTTGGTAAAGCAAACCCTAGGGTACAATAACAAATGTCTTGTAAGGGCCTAGACCTAACAGCGTATGTTTGTGATGAATTTGATTGGTTTGCAAAGTCACTTGACTTATCATTACATTTTTAATGTTCTCTATAATTTTCTTAGGGCATGGCTGTTCTTGTACCTTGAAATATCCATTGATTCATATAGCATACAGAATAAAGGCATGAAAATTGCTTAAAATTTCCTTTTAAGTTAGATTATAATATGTTGATATCCCCCTGTGAATTGTACCTCAAACAAAACATTTGAGAACTTTATAGTTAACCCAAAGCTAAAAAAAGCTAATTCAGGTAGTCTTCAGTCATGGGTATTTTGGTAAGGACTGCAGGTGCACCAAACTTCTATGGCTGAGGGATGAGCCTAATAGGTAAAGATCACCTTGATATATAGAAACAACATGAATTGATGTGTTGTGCAATTTGGTTTTATTCTGTTTGTGTGTTTTTTGTTCATTTTCTTGTTTGAATATCCAGTGGGGGAGTTTGAGGAAATGGTTACTTTCTTGTCTCCTTGTCTGATAGAACAATCATACTTTGCCAGCATAGAAATAGTTCAGCCAATTTGCTGAATCCTAAGAAAAATCTTACATTTTGTATATGAAATTAATTTAATTGTACAACAGAAGGCATGAAAAAATGAGTATACACCCTGCAGTGAAGTAGAGTCCAGTTCTTGAAGGAGTATAGATTCTCCTGGTTGCTTTATAGTTCTGAAATCAGGATATCAAAATAAAAGCTCTTGGCTTATGGGTAACTGGCTTGTAACAACCCGTTGATAAGCACCACCACCAAAGATGCACCACCCCAAAACAAGTTCAATTCCAAAAAGCACCTCCCCAAATATGTACCTCCCAAGATAAAGCCCCATCCCCAAAAATAGTTTTGGGGATGGGGAGGTGGTATTAATTTGGTAATCGTGGACTTTGGAGGTAATGTTAATTTTGTAATCTGGGCGATTGATAGCGGTATTCTGAGAGCAGAGTATAGTGCCTAAAATAGAGAGTGATCAAAGCTAACATGCTTTTTTAAGTTGACAAGAAACCATAACATACTTTGCTACTGAGGAATTTTTAAAAATTAATGTTAATTCATAGTAATTTTAAGAATAATGATAACTAATAATTTAAAGGATACACGTTCAGTTTTTATATACTTGGAATCTTTCTTAGGCCATAAAAATAAACCAGGCAGCATGTGACCTTGCCAAAAGTGTCGCTCAGGAGGGAGGAGTATTTTTCGCTGGATCCGTCTGTCAGACAGCTTCTCTGTATTCACAAGGTGCTGGAAAAGAAATTGTAACGAAGAAGTTTAGGGAGCAAATTCAGATATTCATTCAGAACGATGTTGATCTAATTATAGCTGAGGTAATTTTATTTTGAAATGTACTTGTTTGAGTTAATTTTTACTGAAATCTGCATAATGAAGCTGAACACTATGGTTATTCGTTGTTAATGTTAGCGTTTTTACAGCAGATTTCTATAGCTTGTTACTACAGCGCCTGGTCAAATTTAAGTTAATCAGTTTGACTGAATGAAGACACGGGACGTTTTTCGCAGAAGGAAGGGCACCTTTCACTGGGGAGTAAAATACTATCGCACTTTTCCCGTTATACCCCCTTCCTTCTAATGTTACGATAAGGTTATGTAATCTCGGAAAAGTCCCTTTTGCTCTTATTAGATATTTTACCGAGATACTTGCAACCCATTTTATGATACTCACACCAAAGAAAATAATGTCAGAATTGAACCCTTGAAATGTACTGCATCCTTAGAAACTCGTGTCTCATGGGTGTTTATTGGTCGAATGTTTCTCCGACAGTTCTTTGCGAACGTAGAAGAGGCTGAGTGGGCAGTAGAAGTAATGAAGTCCACAGGGAAACCAACAGCAGTAACCTTATGCATTGGACCTGATGGCGACAGTTGTGATGTTCCTCCGGGAGAATGTGCTGTTAGACTCGCGAGGGCAGGTACAGAGAGCCAACTATAAAGGTCGACTAAGGAAGTCGGAGTAGTTTGCTACCCATGTTGAACTTTTCCACCAGCGCAGCAGTAGCTTTGAAATTAGTCGATGTTGCTCTCTTCCAGGCTGAATTTAAATAAGGTACCAAAAATGCGTTTTCCTTAGCTTATGTTTCTGACCAAAAAAGATTGGAAAATGAAGAAATTTTTAAGAGATAATCACAAACAAAGAAAGCAGTAGGAAGAGGAGAGTCTAGGAGAAAACGCTTCCTTAATCAGTTTTGACCCCAGAGAGTAGATTGCTAAGCCGCATGCATATACACTACTCTTACATTAGGCCTTGTGGTTTCAGGGGCTGATATAATTGGAGTCAACTGTCGCTTTGACTCAAACATCACTTTAATGACCATTGGTTTAATGAAAGACGCGTTGGATAAAGAAGGCCTCAAGCCTCATCTAATGGCTCAACCAGCTGGTTACCATACCCTGATGCTGACCGTATGGGATCTGCTCATCTGCCAGAGTCACCGTTTGGTGAGTAGTAAGCATATGTCAAGATCTAGGTAAATAACATTTTTTGGCCTTTTTAAATTTGGTGACTGCGTGTTAGAACATAACTTTGACACAACGTGTGCTCTGATTGGTCAAAATCTCGTATATTTGGTTGTATACCCATAGAAAACTGAAAACATCTTCCCACCCTATCAAATGGCGCCAC